GCTCGGTTCTTCAACCTCATCGATAACTTGGGCTTATATGAAAATGTGAGGTCGGCAACTCGTTGGAGAAACAGTCAGACACCATCGCGCTTAGACTGTGTATTCACTAACGAAGAATTCCTAGTCGACAACCTCTCAATCCTGGCTCCCCTGGGAAAGAGCGATCATGCCGTCATAGCCTTCAGTTTTGTCATCAAAACTAAGCTAAGGTATCCCAACAATAATTTGCGTTGGAATTTTAAACGGCTGAATGTGCCAGCTTTACATGACTATCTACAACAGGTGGTTTGGGATGTTCACCCTCAACTCGATGTGGATGGTCATTGGGACTTCTTACTGCACACGCTCTTATGTGCTACAGACCATTCAGTTCCTCAAACGGTTCCCAAAAGCTTCAAGCCACCTACAGTAATCAAGAACCGTACCCTTCGCCTGCTAAGTCGCAAAAGACACTGTTGGGCGGAATACAAACGAACTAATAACGATGGAGCGTATAGGCAATATAAACATATCAGGAACATATGCACGAAGGCTATAAGAGAAGACAGGCTTCAGTACCAAACAAAGCTTATGGACAAGTTCGCCTCTAACCCTAGAAGCCTATTCCGTTACGCAGCCTCTCTTCGTCAAGCCAAAACAGGAGTTTCTCAACTGCTAGGTCTTAACGGCCCGACCAACAATGATGGCGACGCCGCTAACCTTCTGGCGGCCCATTACTCTCAAACATTTCAACCGGCTGATATCAACTTTATTGACGACAGTTTCATCTGCAATTCCACAGGACTTTCTGAAGTGGACCTAAGCGCTGACTTGGTGTTCCGGAAACTGCAGCACTTAAGACTTGACACTTCTCCTGGCCCGGATATGGTTCATCCTGCCATACTGAGGGAGGCAGCCTCAATCCTGGCAACGCCGCTTAGCGTGATGTTTTCACACTCGCTTAGCCGAGGCAAATTACCGGAAAATTGGAAGTTGGCTCACATCACACCAATTTTCAAAGGTGGTCGACGCAATGAACCTTCAAGTTATCGGCCGGTAGCTCTTCTGTCGTTACCTTCAAAACTCATGGAGTCCATGATATGCGACGGTTTAAATGACTATCTACTGTCCTTAAATTTCTTCTCACCCCAACAGCATGGTTTCAGGAAGGGTTACTCTTGCATAACCAACCTGCTGACTGCGGTGGACAGATGGACAAGCATCCTCGACCGCAAGGGAAAGGTTGATGTCATTTACCTTGATTTCTCAAAAGCTTTTGATAAGGTTAACCACTTGTGTCTTATCAACAAGCTCAAACGACTAGGTATCAAACCACCTCTAATCGACTGGCTTACTTCATACCTAAAAAATCGACACTTTAAGGTTAGGGTTAATTTCACTTTATCTCAGGCTATGGAATGTCCTAGTGGGGTCCCCCAGGGCTCAGTACTAGGGCCTCTTCTCTTCTTGATCTACATAAATGATCTTCCTCAACAGGTAACATCAGACTTATTACTTTTTGCCGACGACGTGAAACTTTGGAGAGAGATACGCAACCAAGACGATATACAGGCACTTCAGGAGGATCTGACTCGACTTCAAAGTTGGGCAGACGATAACGGACTTACCTTTAACACTTCAAAGTGTAAAGTAGTCCATCTGCGACATGTCGCAAACTACAGTTACAACTTAGGAAACTCCTCTCTAGTAGTATCCCAAGTCGAAAAAGATTTAGGAGTCCTGGTGCCCCATGACTTAAAGTCTTACGCTAACTGTGACAAAAATGCCTTCCGAGCAAACCTTGCACTGGTAACGTTGAGGCGCATTTTTGGCCAGTTTGACGGAAGAACTTTCCACACAATCTTCAATAGTTTCATCCGTCCCCATTTAGAGTACGGAAACATAGTACTCCCCCCTCACTCCAAAAGGACAAGGTCACTTTGGAGCGTATCCAACGGCGAGCCACGAAATCAGTTCGAGGACTCAAATCTAAGCCTTACGAAGAACGCCTCCGTTCACTAGACCTTTACCCACTAGAATATAGGCGTCTTAGAGGTGATTTATTAATGGCTTATAGTATTCTTAACACTTCTGGACATCCTCTTAAACACCTACTTAAGCTTAGTTTGAATAATAACCTAAGGGGTAACACCCAGAAACTGGAAACACAACATAGCAAGACGGAATGTAGACACAACTTCTACTCCTTAAGAGTTGTCAAAAGCTGGAACTCGCTGCCGGCCGAGCTAGTCCAAGCGACTTCTCAGGAGTCCTTCAAGAGGCAACTTGACCTATTCTTAAGAACCAAGGATAGCATCACACTATGATTTACCAATTTCTTTTCCTCTTTTATTGTTAACATACCTAGGTTCCTGCCTGGAGGATTTGGTGATCCCCTGCTACTAGACACGGAAGCCTGTTAAGCGAAAGCTTCTTCTATTCCGTCCACAACCATTTGAACCATTTGAACCATTTGTACACCAGTATTCCTCAATCGGTGAGGCGCAAGATTTGGTTCGAAGGTCATTTCGTTACAGTAAGTATGTCTTGCTGGACATGAAAGTATATTTATACCTTGTACGTTCGGTGGCTTACCTACTTTATGCAAAGCGAAATTTCATAGCAAATTATTCTTGAGTGATTGAATCTAAATACGGAATGTAGTCCACGAAGATGACATTTCATTGAAGCCGATTGAGTTTGACTATAATACATGGACGACTTGTAAGGGATGGTTAGTTTACTTTTAGGTTGTCCACTTATTTACTAGGGTCATATGAGGGTTGAAATTAGGTGTAAGGAACCAAGATCCGGATTCGCATTTTAACGTTAACGTTAGATTTAGACATAAGGGCTAAGATTTCCGGTGAGTCTATAATTTATGGACGACCGATGAACGACTCTAAAAAGACCTTAAGAATGCACACATATATACTACGGCCAAAACAGGGTTATGGAACTGAGCAATTTAGATTAATATTTACAGTTGATAGTCAGGGTTAGTAATTAGATTTAGGTTTTTCATCACGAACTGACATCAGCTATAATGCCAAAACTCTATTTAGCCGAATGAGTGAATTAATTTTTCGCCAAAACTCAAAACCTATCATCGTAAATCTGGTTGGTTTGTCCAGATTTTCGTCAGATTTTCATCATAAACTGACATATACTATAAAGCCAAAATTCTATTTAACCTTATGGATCAATTAATTACACTCCAAAATCCTCTACCTGTTGTCTTAAATCTGATTAATTTAGCGATAAACTGTAGTCCCAGCCAACGATTTATCGGAAATCTTAGTTTAAAATCAGATGCTTTGACTGTGTTTGCTAATAGTTTCCTAATGATTCCTAAAATTTCATCTAAACGTTTGACTCGTGTGTTCCAATTTTTGCGTGGTGAGAATAGAAAACCGTCTGCTCAGTAGTATCTGCATAATAATTAATTCATTTCTTTGTAGCGTTTCTTCTCGTTAACTTGTGAAAGTAATATAACTGGGAGCGCACTTCTGCAAAGTCAAATATAATGGTAAGTTAGCTATCAGCTGCTCTGTTTTTTAAGTGGTATCTTGGTTAAGAACAGTCTGTGGCGAGTATCCCCCGCACTCACGGCTAGTTTCCGTAAGTCATTAATAAGTCTAGGAAGTCTGTCTTCAGCTTTACCTTGGAATTTACTTAAATATATTTGAAATATGTTTAAATGTTTGAGGTCTTTTCATTAAAAACCATTGCTTTTTTAGTCAGGTTTCTTTTACAGTTATACTTATTGTGATTTTTACTGGGTCACTGCGAAAATCGAGTCTTCATAGTTAGGTTATCAACAAACTTCTCAAATTTTGCAGTAAATAAAATTTCAGTTTGTTTTTGAAAATGGACTCTTTTACTCGATTGTATAATCTTGGATTCTACTAGTAATTATCTTCTTGCCCCACTTAATATTTTCAGATGTAATATGTTTTGAAGCGCTCTCCAACCTGTAAATAATTAATTTGCGTGCGTCTGGCTGTCGATTGCCGTACTTTCAAAGTTCTTTCAGTGACAATGAAGAACAATCATTCTCCTGAATGCCTTGATTGTTCCGATGAGATTTGGCAACCACGTAACCAAACTACCCTAGAATGTTCTGAGCTTCCTGTATTTACTCGATATACAGAAGTCGTAAATAGGACTTCAAGTTTACCCTTTCCTTCAAATGGTTTGCTGATTGGTGAAGATTCTTCCCTGCCTGTTGTTGAAGATAATATATCTATAAGTCAAGATAGGACTACTGCTAATTTACAGAGGGCGAAAAATGTACGACAGAGTTTACGATCATTCCTACGCAAAGCCACTAGTTTGAAGGATTCTCGTTCGAATTTAAATATCGAATGTTCTGTTATCGGTCTTGATGGAAGATGCTTCAGGTTTAGTTTGTGTGTAAGTTTAACTTTTCCTGTCAGTTTTTGATAAATAACCATTAAAAGTATTACAAAGCGTTTCACTGACTAGTGTATGATATTAAATAGCTGGTTTTCCGATTGTCTTTTTCCAGTACTAAGCTGAATTCTGGAAGTGTTAAATTTCCAATCAAGGTATGTAACTCGTTTGCCAATTACAGGTATCCGGCTTTTTGTTAGTGATATTATCTGGCTACCTCAACTAGGGTCGCTGTTACGAGGTTTGAGAATGAAATTCAATAGTTACAAATGAGAACTTTTACCTCAGTGTATGAATGTTGTTTGTAAGTGAATAGTAGTAGCGAGCTAATCAGAATCTCGTAGGGAATCGAAGATGGTGTGTGAGCAGAACTTACTTAGTGTCCATTATATTATATATTCAATGCAATGAGTAGATTTCGTGTTTAGTCCATAATTTAAAACTAATAGGTGGGAAAATAGAGAGGAATCGTAGGACCTCATATTTTTGAGGGTTTGTCTAACTATGAAATAGTGACATGTTCTTTTTCTGTGGTAAATTGTTAACAGCCCAATTACTTGCTATGTACACATCATAATAAAACAATTCTGAAGTGTCAAGTATTACCCGACCGTTGTTGCTACCTTGACGTGGTGGTCGGGCTTGCCTATCGTGATGAAGCAACCGAGCTATACTGGCTGGAACAACCGTTCCTCAAGGTCCTACCATGTCAGACAGGTCGGTTGAAGAGCGGTAAGACTAAAAGCAACAAACCCAAGGTCCGAACGCGAAGTCTTACTGCTGGCTGTATAGAGGTGTGACAGCAGTAAGGTGTTTCCTTCAGACAACCAGCATCTGCAGCGATGCTGCCTTCCCACAAGGAGGGGTGGGGTTAGAGTAGGTCGACCCCAAAAATGCACACCTCGTCTTAATCCACGGATATCCGTCTCCGGCAGTAAGGTCTCAACAAGTACGGAGCTAACACAAAAATCACCCATAAAAAGGTCGTGTGTGACCGACCTCAAGCAGTTGTCCCTGGGCTCTGCGGTCACTCTCTCAGGTCACTAAGACCACCTCTAATCCAATTTCCTTTTCAGGTACCTCCAGAAGAACCCTTCCACGGTGTGGGCAATCGGGAAGTGATAATCGCCCTCATACCTCTAACAGCACTCAAGACCAGTGACTGTCACGTATTAAAAAAATAATTATCCTTGCAAATTTGTTTCACTAGAATACATTATGAGATCCTTTTAAACGAAGAGTTTTTATCATTGTATATAATGGTTGAATGTGACATATTGACTTGGCAGTTTTACTTGTAATAAATATTGATTTATATGAGTGACTTTCATTGAATATGTAGGTGGTATATTTCCTAGTTTCACTCTGTCGTCTTGCTCTACAAATGATAAAGGTTAGTCCATTGATTGATAAATAGAGTGATCACTCTGGTAAAATTGTAATTCTTATGACTTTAGGATACAGTTTTATTTATAATCAAAAAATATTTGTCCCCAAATTTACGCAGATCTTACTTACAGTGCATTTGGCTCATTATAGAGGAATCCTCTGTCTAGGATTCCCAGATTGTTATTCAGTTTTCAGCACTGTGTTTAACTCCGTAACTCCTAGTCGGTAAGAACAGACGAATCTCTATGGATATTCTCTGTATGGTGTAATTGCACATAGTTAAGGGGAATATACTATTTCGTGATTTATCTCTGTATTTCTATCATTATCATTGTTTGTTACAAACATCTTTTATTTATCTCCGTAAACAGAAGTTCGCTTTGGGGCGTGAGCTTTTTGATTTGGTTTGTCAGTGTCTAGAGTTAGAAGAGTCACAGTACTTTGGTTTGGCGTACTATTTAAACCATTCAGCTACAAGAAACTCTATGGTGGGAACTCATCAAGATAAACAAGATAGTTCTGACTCATCGTTTCATCTGTCTTCCTCTTCGATTGATAAATCTTACTTGACTAAATTTTGTGGTTTCCACATGACCAACTCGTTCAATCCTTGTAAAATGTACTCGAATGATACAACATATCCTGGCTTTAATCCCTTTTTCATTGACGTTCCTGTAAGTCAATTTCTACTCATTTCTAAATTTCTTAGTTATCTACTTCTAGATCTATTAAGCATAATGTAATGACATTACTACTTGAATTTGTTTTAAAGTAAATGTTCTTATTTTGTAGTAATAGCGTTTTAACTATTATCTAAAGAGGTTCTCAATTTTCATGACAGTCTGTCTTGTGAAGTCTTCGAAGAACTTGTAGTTGGGTTGACTGGGGTATGGTTATCGGAATTATTAATAGCACACGAAGTTTGCTCATTTGTTTTTCCGAGGATTAGCTAAAATCGTCATGTGTTAGTCAAAGAAAAGTTAGTTTAACTGAATTTTCTTTACAAAATGACATCAGACGTAGTTGTATATTTTCAACAAACGTAAAAATTTATTGATTCCGGCCGATTATTTTGAGGACAATATGTCCTCATGGTTTCACGCTTGAGTTTATAATTCTGTGTTTATCGAATCACAACTAAACTTACATTGACTGCATACTTTTATCGCTTGTGAATGTGTTTTGGCATGCGTTAACGTGCCATGATTTCGGCATATAATATCCACTCTTCACTCATCTTCTTGAGATCAATGTTTCCATTACAGTTTGCGCAAACATATGATGTTGTTGATCTTCAAAGGATAAATAGTTTAGTTCACTGTTTTACTATATAAATCTATGTGTGTTTAATCTTTGGGATTGTCTCACACTTAAAAATCGATTACTATTTGTAAAATTGACCAAACTATATTTGTTTCTACTCACAAAATGTTATATATTTCATTCAGTTTTGGCTAGATGTAGAAAAAAGAATAACTGATCAATGTCATGGTGAGTGAGTTTATTATTATTTGTTCTTTGATATTTAGTATCATTTTGTGATCATTATTGTTCATTCCTTCATTCAGAGGAGCATGCACGTTTTACTACAGCCCCTTTAAATGGTTATACTGTAGTCTGTATCATAGAGAAGGGTTTTGGACTTTTGATAGTTAAAGTGATCAATAATGTTGTGAACGGTCGTTGGTGCACAGTGGCTCATGATTTAGTTTACTGATGAAGTCCCAAAATATCAAGCTGTCGACTCAACGATCTGAATGGACTGATATCAAAATACAAAACAGCTTACCAGGAAATGTTTTTTTTGTGTTAAAATGATGCGCACACAAAATATGGCAAAACATATGCAAATGTGATAATATATGAGGGGGCTTTTATGTTGAATTCGCCCTCCGACGAGATCAGTACTTGATCATAATTATATTTGTCGACCTTTGGTTGTCACTCGACTTCCGTGATCTAGGGATCTTATGGTAGTGTTTTTCATTTGGGATCCATTTCTTCCCTTCTAAACGGAAAATTTCGCTTCACGGCTGGAGTAAATAATCACCTAGATTAGACATAAGGAGTGAAGTGATTGAATGGATCGCCTTCTTCACTTATCTTGGCAGTCTCGTCAACTCTGATGAGCTAGTATTGTACTAATTCACGGCATGGGTTCTAAAAGCTTTGTATGCCTATGTCTCATTTGATTAGTTGGTAAATTAGCGTCTTTATGTCTTTTAATATATCACCTCTACTTGTTTCTAACGAGTGACCTTAGTATTTACGGGATTAAGCTTTCTTATTTCAGGACAATGGGACAAAAGGATATAACAAGTGAGGATTGAAACTTTTAAAGAAGGCATAGTAGTGGAAAGAGAATGTAAGAGAAGGACTCAGGTGATAATTTTAATCAGCTCTCTTTGGTAGCAAGATAATGAACCAATGAAATTATGCTACCTGTTTTATCAGTGAGAGAAATCACGCAGTCTTCTGATAATATCAGGTTTTGTTATTTTAAGAACCTCACCTAACATGGTAGCATCTACCTGTTCAACTCTGATAAACAGTTATTGTCGTTACGAACTATGCTAATCTAGTTATCTTGTAGTTAAATGTAATTTAGTTTACATTTCTTGAGTGAAATCGACTAATCTTATTTAAGTCAGTTTATACATGGTTATCTAGTTGTATTAGTGTTTACGCCTATTGGATTGGGTTTATTCATTACTGGGAATTTGCTATAGTTTTCTTCTTTCACTTTTATAATTTAATTCACTTTACAGTAGAAAAAAAGAAACCCAATAAATGTATTGAAAGTGAACATTCGTTTTAATTTTTGTTCACTTTTTGTTTGTTATAGTCCCGGTGTTTTGCTTCAATAATACTTATCTATATTAAGTTGGTAGTTGACCTTTCCATTACTTTTATAACGTTGTATACTTTTACTGTGTGGATCCAAATTGACCTAACTTGTTTTTTTACGGTTCGAAATTGCTTTCATGCACTAATTATTTCACTATTCAATATTTTTTATTCATAAGTGTTACCTTTTTTTCGTTTGTTTTTGACGTTATTTTAAAGAATTGTTTTTCTTTATATATATTATACTTTGTCATTAGGTCTTAATATTTAGAAAGTTAGATGTGTTAATAGTTTTAGTGGAACTTTTCTCTTAGTTGAGCTATTTCTTTGAAGTCCGTATCACCAATGACATACTAATCTTATTATCTGTAAATTTACAATGAGTAAAGGTGTGAGTTTATAAATAAATATTTCTATCATTTTTGTTTTTATTAGTTGAATTCATGAGTCGATCTAAGCTACACCACTTCCGAGAACCTGGAAGCACTGGATGGCCGTTTCGTTCTGGTATGGAACTCAGCATTCACGATTCCGCATGCTGGACTTGAACTCGGGACCTTCGGTTTCGCACGTGAACGCTTAACCTCTAGACCATTGAATTGGGATCCAACGGTGTTGATGTCTAGCTTCAATCAATCCATGATCTTGAGCAACTATTCATCTATTGTCTGGGGTAGATATCTGTCCCTACCTTACACGGATTGGACTCCACTGGTCACGGCTTCTCACAAGCAACTCCAGGACTGATTAAGACGATTCGTCTGATTGATTGGTTTTGCCTCTTTTATTAGACCGAAAATTCTGTCAAGCGCTTTTAGTTTAGTGTATTTTACGAATGTGAAGTATTAATTTTTGATATTATCCATCTTGATGGGTTAGCTACATTTTTTGAAGTTCATTCATCTGTTGGCTGTCTTGTGACTAGGTGTTTTCTAGTAGTTTGATAGATAACTGGTTGATTGTTTGTATCTGTTTGCCTTTGATTTCTCACGGGTTTTGCCAACTCATGGTTAAATCGTAGTTTTTGGGTTTAAGTTGTTTTCTTAGTATTTATTTCTATACAAGTATACATATTAAGGCAAACAGCGCATGATCGAATTAGTTTTATACTGTTTCATTTGTAACTCGAGTTCATCATTCATTGCATCACGTAATGTAAATTTTAAAACGGTTTATCGATGGAAATTTTTTATGCAATATCATGTTCCATAATTATGACATACTTTTAAGTGTTTGGAGATATCGATTAGTAATAAGTCCCTAGCAGTGTCCCAAACGTTTGGAATATTGGGAAAACACTGAACAGTTCATTCATCAAGAATTGAAATGGTAATTTAGTTAATTTTTTTTTGATGACGAAATGGGACAATGTATCTAAAAAAATGATACTTCAGGCTGCCAATATAAAAGACTTTATAAAATCTATCAAACTGGTAAGCACATGTTGATGTGTTCAAAAGGGGGAGCTCTTCCTCCAACGTATTCGTGTATTTAATGCTTAGCTTACAACAAATTTTTGCATAGCAAACTTTTACATGTATAACTTATTGTACTGAACATTGTTCTTTACTTCAGGTTCTAAATTGATATTTTACTTTCAAGTAAAATTTTATCCACAACACCCTGATCTTGTTTTTGACTGTCCTAAGTCCAGATATCAATTTTGTCTTCAGTTAAGGCATCATTTAAGTATTGGACGGTGAGTTTTGTTTCTCTATACCTATATTATGATGAATTTTGGCGTTTCTATCCCTTTTTAAAATTCTGGTCGGTTTTATCTGCAGTTTATATAAAAAAAGAATGTTGTATCAAATATACTGAACAATTTAATTATTCATCCATTAACACATGCATCAGCCCAACCTATTACATTTCATATGAGAACAGTTAAAGGAAACTTCTTATAGGAAAACACAATAGTTGAAATAATGATAGCTCTAGTTTTAACAACTGACTGACTGACTGTATTTCATTACAGAAGCAGAAATTTTGAAATGATATTAAAACATGAAATTCGGAGAAATATAAGGAGTACACACATCTGCCCCCATGTAACTGATTTTGGCTCATCTCATCCAAGTTGTTCAACTGTAGAATATGATTTTTTCCCCGATCTCAAACACGGAGTTGAAGTTTTCCGATATGATTCAATCCAATAATGAATAACTTTATCTACCGATGTCATGTCTTTATGTGCCAACCCTTAGCTTTCTTCGAACTTGTATGTCATTCAGAAACAAACAGTTACCAGTCATGACCAAAGTCGACAGAACATCTTACTCGCGCTACATGTGGCTCAAAATAGTAAAAGGTCTAGTTGGATGGTGTCCATGCCGAGGTCGCGTCATATTTTAACTCCTAAAGCTCTAGGTGAATGTTTGATTGTCTTATTATTGTATTTATGACCTTTCACAATTTTCTAGATTCGCTAATTGTAAGTGCTAGTAAACACTTATAGTTTTAGCTCGGAATATACGATAAAAATGACAGTCATCCCAAATCTCTTACATTTGTCGTCCCTCGTGGAGCATAGACCATCAACCAGGATTCTCCATCGAACTCTCTCTTGGGCAATCCTTTCCAGTTGTTTCCAAATGCTATTCAGTCTTTTGTTGTTTGCTTTCGTCTAGTGTGTGACGAAATCTCAGTACGGATACAGAAGGCTCGATTAACTTTTGCCAACTTGCGTCATTTATGGCGTAGGCGAGATATCCATCTATCAACCAAAGGACGGGTTTACTGCGCAGCAGTTCGTTCCGTCCTACTTTATGCAGGAAACATGACCGGTAAGAGTAGAGGATATTCGTACGCCAGTAATATTTGATCATAGGTGTCTTCGAAACATTGCTCGTATATCTTGGGACCATCGAGTAAGTAACTCAGTTGTTAGGAAATGGGTACTAGGTAAGGATGGCAAATCAATTGATCAAGTAGTGAAACTTCATCAGTCGAGATGGCTGGGACACGTGTTACGTATGCCCAACCACCGACTCTCCGACAAGCGATGTTTTCTGGTGTAGGAGTAGGTTGGAAGAAAGCTAGGGGCGGCCAGACCAAAACATGGCACAAGTCCATGAAGTCACTGACAAGTGGACTGAGTCATGTTGGTAGGTTTAGACTACCTAGTTGGGATCCGCGAGACGATAGCAATCGATGGTTAGAGACCTTGAATGACATGGCTCAAAATCGTTTTCAATGGCACAGGTGCATCCACTCTTTATGTTCTCCCAAATTCTAATCTTCTGAATTCATGTCCTTTATTTCATTTCCAAATTTATTTCACTGTATTATACTCCTTGATTAACATCTTCAAACCCTAATCTTTCCGATTACTGCTTATATTCTTACTACTTCTACCACTACGGGATCTGAATCGACAACTGCATCTCTGTGCTAAGGTGGTGTGGCAACTCGAACTGATGTAAGTACGTACGAAGTTCTACGTTGTTGATTGACTGACTCTGCTTTTGATTCTCGACGCAATATGTTCTTTGTTCTTTCTGTTTTCGTTTTGCCCTGAGGACTCACGGTTGTGACTTGCCTCTTGATGCAGTCTGATGACTTCCGCAATGTGTGTTCTATCCACTTCCAGCGTCCTTTCCTAATTTCCTGTTTGTTTGGAAGTTGGTTTGTTCTTTGTAACAGCAGATTGTTGCTGATGGTGTCTGTCTAACGGATCTAGAGTATCTTGCGTAAACAGGTAATTGTATAGATACCTGTACATTTTGATGATGGTTGTAGTAGTTGCAGTAATTTTCATCTCTGTTTACTAGAACTATCTTGATGTTGGTATTGAAAATTGTGGCCTACGTTCTGGCTTACAGCCAGTTGTTGTGAGTTCCAAATGTTGTTGACTAGTATGAATGCTGCCCTTGTTTTGCCAATCAGTGCCTTCATATTTGCATCGGATCCCACTTGTTTACCGATGATGCTGATGTTTGGGTCCGTAAAAGGTTTCGCCTCTTTCAGAGCTTCTCCATCAAGTATGATTATTCCTTATCTAAACCGGAAAATAATGAAACAGTTACTTAGTGTTAGTTTTATTATATTTGGCACATTTAAAGTCAGTGGTTCAGTTTTATTTTCAATGGTAAATTTCTACTTTGTGAATTTTATTGGGATTCATTACTTAGCAATTATCATGTCATGTTTATTTCTGTTTATTTATAGACTCTTATGCTCATTTGAAACTCACGTAATATTGGGAGCATTGATAGCTCAAATGGATCTAGGAAATTCTGTGAAACATCAGCGATCTCGTAGTAGTCATTCAAGTTGTCAGTCCAATCCATATGTTGAATCAACATCGCCTGATTTTTCACGTCGACAGTCAACTTCTCCAGCTCGAAGTTTTTTATCCGAACGTAGATGTAGTTTAGCCCAACCTGAACATAGTGATGATAGTATTATATGGGATGCACGTGTTGATAATAAGTCCAAGAAAGATAAGCCTTGTTCATCTTCTGTTGGGAATAAAGCCAGCACATTCAATCACATTGGTTGTAGTTGTTCTACACAACAGATAGATAATATCAGTATGATGTATTTACAATGTTTACCACACTTAGCTAGAGGATCCGTTACTTCATCATCCATTCAACATAGTACAAACAATATATCAAACGGTAGTAGACCAAGTCTATTGTCATCTACGTTAAACAATATTGAAAATGTATTGTTATCACCAGTAAAGCAAACTTTTAGCCCTGGATGGCCTTATCCAAAGTCTGATTGTCGTTATTGTCCTGTGCTTCTATCACGTATTGCTCGATTACACCGGCATCTTAGGTAAGTGAACGTTGCTTACATATATGTAGCTGTGTTTCATTTTTTAATACTATTCTAATTAAGATCAAGATGATTTGTTGACAAAGTTATGTTTTTATCACATAAAAGCTTTAGCACTAGGAATATTACTAATCAAGAAATTGAATGAACAGTTATACTAATAACCTTTTATAATTTTTTACATTGATCGATTTTTACAGTGTTTTATCATTTTTGACCTAAATAGATAAGGATTAACAATGTGTCACTTCTTAACCTTAGTTCCTTAACATTGTGGCATTTCCTGAGCTGTTGTACTTCAGCACTGTTCATCTAAAGTCACTTCATAGTCTTTTCTGTATTGTAAAATGTAATATGATAAAAAATCAGATAAATGCATTTAGAAATATTATAGTAGTCATATCTCGAGGTCATTTGTGTTGTCTTTCGTGGTTTGAACATTATATTACAAATGGTCAAATCCTAATTTTGAAATCATTCTATCTTCAGTTTGAAAAATGTTATAGTTTGTACTATCTAAAGCTCCGGACATTCGCTTTTCGTCCTCTCAATTTCGTAAACAACACGAGAAGGCAGTGAGTATGACTTCCTTGGAAGTGGTTGTTTGCATGTGACCATGTGAGAGCATTTCTAGAGGGAGAGCTAACTCTCCCCACTCTCGGCCCGTACCACGGCATTTGGGGGCGTTTCGCACAATCTGGTCACACATATATTTATCTAGGTATTTTATATGAGAATTAATAAAGATCATTTAAATGAAGGTTCAAGTAACTATAATATTAGTCGTAATATATTATTTGCACCAGTCTACATAAGTGACTCTTATCAAAATTGTTATTTTCATAATTTGCCTTATTTTGAACTGGTGATTTCAAGCTAATCGTCAAATAGGATTTTACAATAGAATATTAGTGCTGAATTATTTATTCATTTATTTTAACACATAGATATTGGTACAAGGAGGCACCAAATACATATGTGCCACACAAATCTCATTCGATATGTGTGAGGGCGGGTGGTTTTCTTAGGGGGCCACTCCCCGAGCCTTCGACCTGAAGGTCTGGTCCACAAGGCAGTGGAGCATCGTAAGGAGATGCAATCCCATGGTAGCCGGTGACCAACGATTGGTTCATACGCCATTTGTTCCCTCAGGATACTGGAGCCCATGTGCACCATTGGTTTTGGATCCGGTTGAAGCGCCGGACATTCACTTTTCGTCCTCTCATTTTCGTAAACAACACCCCCGCCACGAGAAGGCAGTGAGTAGGACTTCCCTGACAGAGGCTATATACGTGTGGCCATGTGAGAGCATTTCGAGAGGGAGAACGAACTCTACCCACTCTCTACCGTACCAGGGCATTTTGGGGGCTGAATTAATACAAATTCATATGATACAAGCCTTTAGTTACAAATTAATAACGAATAAATTTTCTCTTTTAATGCAATTATTTTATTCTCTAGCTAAATTGATTAAATCATTCATTTACTTTCATATTATGAACGTCATTTTACATAAATTCACTTGATATTGTTTGCTTGAATCTTCCCATTGAGGTTTAAGACTGCAATTGATCAGTCTGTTATTGGCATATGTGCATACCGTGCGTATTGCCTCGATATTGTCTTAATTAACAAGCTTTATGAGCAAAGATGGATAGCGGCTAGCTATGGGATCCAGGACGTGCGTTTCGTCGTATTTGGGACTCTTCAGTCGGATGTACCTCCATCTCAGAGCTAATGTTCACTCTGGGACTCGAACTCAGTACCATTCGCTTCAAACACCATCGCATTATCCAGCTGACAAGTCCCAAATGGGACGAAACGCGTGTCCCGTATTTCACTGATAGTCACTGTCCATCTTTGATTCAGTTTCATAGTCTGAAAAGTCTTTAATGAATATAATTTTTATTCTTTTGATGTAATGTCAATCTCAGTCTACACGAATTGAGAATTTAACAAGTTTTCAGATACTTCACATTGAGCCACTGTTCAACAAAAGTTCGATTGGTGAATTCTTGTCTAGGTTTTCACACTTATTGATATTGAGAATTATGTGTAAGTAACTTTGTTAAGCAGAAGTGTTCAGGAGAAGTTAAATGGTTAATTGCATCGACCTTCAATGATCATAGTTCAGGGTTATTCATTAAAGTGAGTGAGATGTAAGCCGGGAATCGAGAGTAGAACTTTAATCCATTCAACTGGTCTCGATTCCAGTTTACCAGAAAGGAAAGAAATCCTCTTTTTCTGATAATAGGGGCATCGTTTCAGTGTCTGAATGGAGTTCAGTCAGTAGCAACGTAGATTTTCGTACGTACTTACATCAGTTCGAGTTCTATTAAACAGAGATGAAAATTACTGCAACTACTACAACCATCATCAAAATGTACAGGTATCCATACAATTACCTGTTTACGCAAGATACTCTAGATCCGTTAGACAGACACCATCAGCAACAATCTGCTGTTACAAAGAACAAACCAACTTCCAAACAAACAGGAAATTAGGAAAGGACGCTGGAAGTGGATAGAACACACATTGCGGAAGTCATCAGACTGCATCAAGAGGCAAGTCACAACCGTGAGTCCTCAGGGCAAAACGAAAACAGAAAGAACAAAGAACATATTGCGTCGAGAATCAAAAGCAGAGTCAGTCAATCAACAACGTAGAACTTCGTACGTACTTACATCAGTTCGAGTTGCCACACCACCTTAGCACAGAGATGCAGTTGTCGATTCAGATCCCGTAGTGGTAGAAGTAGTAAGAATATAAGCAGTAATCGGAAAGATTAGGGTTTGAAGATGTTAATCAAGGAGTATAATACAGTGAAATAAATTTGGAAATGAAATAAAGGACATGAATTCAGAAGATTAGAATTTGGGAGAACATAAAGAGTGGATGCACCTGTGCCATTGAAAACGATTTTGAGCCATGTCATTCAAGGTCTCTAACCATCGATTGCTATCGTCTCGCGGATCCCAACTAGGTAGTCTAAACCTACCAACATGACTCAGTCCACTTGTCAGTGACTTCATGGACTTGTGCCATGTTTTGGTCTGGCCGCCCCTAGCTTTCTTCCAACCTACTCCTACACCAGAAAACATCGCTTGTCGGAGAGTCGGTGGTTGGGCATACGTAACACGTGTCCCAGCCATCTCGACTGATGAAGTTTCACTACTTGATCAATTGATTTGCCATCCTTACCTAGTACCCATTTCCTAACAACTGAGTTACTTACTCGATGGTCCCAAGATATACGAGCAATGTTTCGAAGACACCTATGATCAAATATTACTGGCGTACGAATATCCTCTACTCTTACCGGTCATGTTTCACTGCCATAAAGTAGGACGGAACGAACTGCTGCGCAGTAAACCCGTCCTTTGGTTGATAGATGGATATCTCGCCTACGCCATAAATGACGCAAGTTGGCAAAAGTTAATCGAGCCTTCTGTATCCGTACTGAGATTTCGTCACACACGAGACCACATCTGCTGATGAGACTTCCCAGATAAGTGAAGCGGTCGACACGCTCAATTACTTCGCTCCTTATCATTAGTCTGGGTGTCGATGCAACCCAATCCTGAAGCAATATTATACATTTCAATGGGGATAATTGCACCCCGAACATGCATTGTGACTTAGAGTGGTCAGAAGACTTCATTTTGTGAGCATCTTCCCCAAATAGAACTATGTCATCAGCATATTCTAGGTCATAAAGTGAATCTCCCGGTAGATGTTTAACCCCTGGAAATCTAGACGAGGAGAGTGTTATCTCTAAAAGCAAGTTAACGACAAAGTTACACAAGAATGTAGAGGGTGAACAGCCCTGACGAACACCACTTGAGGTAATCAATTCTGATAACAGTTCGCCATAAGCTCTCACTCTACCAGTTGTGTTCGAGTATAGAGTTTTTACAAGGTTAATGTTCTTCCTTGGTACTCGTTTCAGTGACAAACACTGCTATAGATCCTCACGATCAACAGAGTCGAATGCTACCTTAAGGTCGGGAAATACTACGATTGTGGGGCGTTTGAATATGTGTCTGTGTTCTAGAACCTGAAGTATTGTGAATATGTGGTCTATACAACCACGTCCAGGTCGAAAACCAGCCTGATTTTCTCTAGTCTGTTCTTCACGAGCTTTGGTTAGGCGTCGAAGTATTATCGAAGCTAATATTTTAGATACTATATTAGTCAAACTGATTCCTCTGTGATTGCCACAAGAAGACTTTTGTCCTTTCTTATAGACTGGCACAATCAGTGATAGAGACCAGTCAGATGGGATTACGTCCAGTTCCCAGATTCTTCCTAAGACCTCAGTTAATCTCACTGCTAATACTGGATCACCATCCTTAAAAATTTCGGGAGTAAACCTGTCAGGGCCTGCTGCTCGCCCTCGCTTCAGATTTTTCGACTTCGCAAACAATAAACACAGAGAAGATCAAGAACGTTCCACACTTGGCCGTAGATGTAAAATCTTCACACTTCGATTAGTCTCAAAACATTACCATACTTATCAATCCCTGTCCGTAGATTTATTCCGTGACCAGAAGGCGTTATTCACTAATAGGTTAAAAGGTCTTATGATGTTATTTATTATTAGAAAGTTGTTGAAAAAAAACCAATAACCAGCTGAAGGCTTCTTACTCGAATGTACTCCGTTCAGTTTGAGTTTACTGCTATCATTAAAGACATTTCTGTTAAGTAGTCCTGTTCGCATAAATTAGTTGTACCGGCAGATTCTGCTCAAAATGGAAATCAGTAGTGATCTTGTTTTAGTTTTTTATTCCATTCTTCATAAGAGTGAAATAGATTTACAGAAGGCTTTCTTGACTGTATTTATACCTGGAGTGTATCTCGTACTAAATAATTTTTTTTGTTTGTTTAACTTTGCATTGTACTACCACTCCTCCTTGGTTTTTTCATAATATTAAAACTCCATTTATGTTGTGCATTTTTTGGTACCTTTTTGTGGTAGGATTCACGTATTTAAGACGATAAGTAGAAAAATCTACATCTTGTTATTTATATCCTAGTGCACTTCTACCATTTTACCATTTGCTTGTTTCGTTTTTATTATCTAAATTACCTTCATACGGCGGTGATTAAATAGATTTACTGATTTACAGGTTCAAATCCTTTCCCACTTCATTTTTTAGCGACGGGGTGGTATCATAAGCTCGTACGTTTAAAGTGTGGCTTTAAGCCAGGTGCATGAATTTTTACCTGATAAATAAGTTAATAATAATGATATGTCATCTTAGTATGTTGATTCTTTCATCCTGTAACTTATTCGATGGTTCCTCGTCATTACCCATCGATTCAAAAATAATCCCCAACATTTGGTTCACGCATTAATTAGATTATTGCTCGTTTTTCCGAAATAAATCTTTGGCCTAGGCTAGGTAGTATTATTTTGTCTTGATCCTCGTACGACACTCACGAGCGATAGTTTTAGATATAGAAATGCGTCGTTCCTACGTCTTATTTTTGCGGAAATAAATTTAAAAATCCGAAAGAACCAAACAGTGCATGAGTAAGGACAATAGTAAGTCATTCTTATTGCCTAATTTTCAAAATAGTACAGGGAAAAGGTATGCACAAGGTAGAATAAGGAAAAATATAACCTAAAGCCAACATGGTTATAATAGCAAGTGTTTTGAAATTTTATGAGAAAACATCATGAATGACACTGGGATATTTTTATATTAACCTTTAACTACAGTCCTTAATTATGAATCTTTACTAATCTTGCTTACGAGGTTATATTGGGACTAACATTGTGTTATTGAATTCAGACTTACAGTTAACTTAGCGGCAAACAGTGTTTTTGCTCACAACGGATGAGATATAATATAATTACGGTTTTTGTATTTACATGTTAGTTTGTGATTTACATCAAATTATTGGAAATAGCACAGTTGTCATTCCGGTAAGTTTCAGATCATGTTGGTTGTTTTGCTGATGTTAGGCAGTTGGAGGTAGTGTGTGGAAACGGTAGAACTAAATTTTATGCTAGCTGGCACAAGGAGTACCTGCAATCGTTAGGGGTTTCATCCCCCTATGGCTTTCAAACCCCTGTCAACCAGTTTCAGGATTTGATACGTTATTACTGAGCTGTTGAAGCTGTGACTGACATTGAACTCTATCAATTAAGTCACAACCTGGCCACTAGTCTAGGTGATTTGATTCGATTAGCACTGAAGTCTAGGCAAGTATCATGTTGACCCATTAATCACTGATCACTCACTGCAAGTTATTTTTTTTATGAAAAACAGTTTGTCATATGTAGTATTCTATTTCGATGAAGATTTCCTTTGGTGCATATTTCCACGATGTCAATTATATTCAATAAATTTTTCTTTTCATTTCCTCGATGCTAACAGTTTCACAATTGAGATCCTTCTATGAGCTTTCTGTTACGACCATTAATAACCTATTTTTAATGTTTTCAGGGGTATGTCTCAAAACGATGCAGAAATATCATTTTTAAAGAACGTAAAGAAATTGTCATTTTATGGTGTAGAATTACATCCAATAAAGGTAATCTTTTTATTTCACTTCTACGTAACATTCATCTAGGGGAAGTCTATCATGTTGGACTTGTTTTTTATTATTCATGAGTTATTTTTAACTTAGAATATTTAGAAGCATACGATATTTAGTCCACTTTAAATTCAGTTTACTAATAATTCGTTGAGTAGCAGCGTCACTATCGATTACCACTCACTGGACCATTTGGACACTTGGAGTAATACTGCTGTTATGATCGAACTATGTAAAATTAAGTTAAACTCACTAGGTATTGGTTAAATGACTCATGCTATTAGCAAGAAAAGCAGTTTTCTTTACAGTTTTCTAGCAGATATATGTAGATACATATTCCTAATTATTGCCCCGGTACGGCCGAGGGTGGGGACAGTCAGCTCTCCTTCTAGAAATGCTCTCACATGGTCACGTGTATACAACCACTTCCAGGGAAGTCATACTCACTGCCTTCTCGTGTTGTTTACGAAATTGAGAGGACGAAAAGCGAATGTCCGGCGCTTTAGATAGTACAAACTATAACATTTTTCAAACTGAAGATAGAATGATTTCAAAAATTAGGATTTGACCATTTGTAATATAATGTTCAAACCACTATCTTATATCCAAATTCCTAAGGTTTTTTGAAGATACTTATGATTTTACGTGGTTGAGTTGCTTGACCTTGAGGCTGTAAATTCATTTTTTGGCTGATATACTGATGGACAATAAGGATTTGAAATGTGGACCACTTCTTCATCTAATTTGATTTTGCCCACAACAATTGTTAATGTTAAGAGTCTATACTCGCCTCTTTGTTGATATTTTAATTTTGAGTCTCATTCAAGACGTCAGTTCTGAAAGGTTGGCTCATCTAGCCGATCGAATCAAACACTTGCTGGTGTCCATTTGTAACCACTGTTCAAAATGTAGCAAACTTCTGGAGGACTCAAGCAATATATAAGTATCCATTTAAGATGTCTATATACCGACAGAGACTGATCAGATTCAGTCTTGTTCATCCATAACAGGGAAATGTGAATCTTTACAAATACTATCTTGATTGTGAATATTTATCTGGAAATTGTTAAAAAGCAGTAGCAGTATTGCCATGTATAAACAATACATCGGATAATACAAGTAGCGTATTTAAGGAACAAGATAAATACGAAATATAAGCCAGCACAATTAATTTTTTATTGACTATGTAAACGTATGTACACAAAGCAGCTTACCGATCATTTAGCCTATTCGCAATTAACTATGTGGGTAAATGTTTTACTTTCGAATCCTGTAGATAAGACCAAACAGTAAATCAACTATATTCACGTTTAGTCACAAAGATCGTAATTAGTATTATGAACGATCTCTTTTATGTTAGATTCTGTTAAGCAGTTGGTAATGTCTAGAACTGTGACTGTGATCTGAGTACTACTATACCTTCATCCACCAGGTCCTGAGCTCAAACCTATTTCTCATCTTGGTTTGTCTCATTTAATTAGTTGATAAAATGTTCGAATTATAGATTTTGTTTTCATCACTACTTGTAAGTATAATGCATAGTCAAACTTGAGAAAACTTATACTCTGTCTAGAGTTTATAAGTCATTTTGTAGACATTAAGGAATATATTTTTCCAACTTTTAGGTTAATTCAAGAAATATACATACTTGCTTTATTATGTTCATTTTGATTGTAGAAGTTTCACGCTAGTTATGTTTCATCTGGATCTTTTAAAAATATAACAAAGAAATTGGCCAATTCATTTTCTACTCGTTCTCGAACTAGTTCAGTTGAATCTTATCATAATTTTATTGATACTTCAAGTATTGGTTCTAATCAGTTACTTAACTTGAACAGTACACACAATTCATTATCTATATCTGGTTTGAAATCATCCCTACGACGAATGTTCAGTGTTAAATCTCAAGGTCAGTTGGTGCTTTGATATTTTGAATACTTTTTCTTTCATTTATATATGGTTTTGGTGTTTGATTATTCTCGAACCTTTCAATCACCGGGTCATAGGTTCGGACCCCATTTCATCTACTTTATTTTGAACAACTGGTTAATATCACTAGCCCTCAAACCTGAACTGTGGTTCAAAACCGAATATGTGAATCTATCTTTAAGAAATAATTAACATTATGTAATTGCTATTTTTTGTCTGATAAGATTATTTAGTTTCAATGAAATTCCTCAGATTTCAGACAGCAGATTTGTAAATTGAATTGATATGAATGATGATAATTAGACCTGATAATCTCTACTATTTTAAGTAACCTTTAGTTACATTTGCTTTTGTCAGTATTTTGCATTTAAACATATACAAAGGAAAATCTATTCTCCTGACCACTTATAGTGTCTATTGATTTGATGTCATTTGGGCTCCACGTTAATAGAGTTTGTTAGCGTTTACTTCACATTGAGTCATACTGTTGATTCACAGCTAAGACATTTCCCAATTACTTCTGTCATATTAAAGGGATGTTTTCTACAGGGGAATTTATTAATTCTTTTTACATGTCCTGGTGTGTGTGACATGTAATAAATCATTATGGTTGTTTTATCAGGACTAATCAATAGCCACAGTTAATTTTGGTATACAAGTTTTACTGACAGAATATTCACTTATTATCAGAGATTTCGAGTATTATTCTATAAAAAAGCTTTTGGTAAAGTTCAGAGAATAATTGGCACTTGTCAATCTATAATTTGTTTTTTATATCATATTGTTTAGAGGCTTAGAAATGCTTTGTAACCAACATTGTACTTATTATTCGTGGGGTGGGGGACTCAAAGGCGATCGAGTTAGTAAAGGGATACATAGAAATAACATAGTTAGTAGAATGGGATTTAAATTTAATTTCAGTCATTAAAAGTTGAGTGATAGGATAACTCCTCCACTGGTTTGGTATGTAAATCAAATAATGAGTATAAACTGTATTGCTATTCTGAAAAAGCACAGTCTTCTAACCGCCTTAGGCGACAATGTTAGGATGTTTGGAATGCTTATCTCTCTCCTTAGATGCAAAATATTGAATCAGGACTGGCTCATGTCGAGGCCTGAATTAATGATGGGGAGCGAGGTTTTTGAGTGTGTTGATCACCTCACTTATCTTGATGAGTGTCACTAGCTCTGATGGGTTGGAGTCTGACGAAATCTTGGTACAGATTCATGAATCTCGGTTGGATTTCGCCAATTAATCACTCGTGGCGTAAGTGAGCCAACTGAAGGATGGGTATTAATACACAGCGGTTCGCTCCGTTCAACTCCATGGCTGAAAATGTGGACTTTAAAAATATAGGGCATTTGTAAGTTACAAGTATTTGAACATAGGTGTCTTCGAAGCATTTCTCACGTATTTTGGGACAATTGAGTAAGCAATTCTGAGGTTAGATGCAGAACACTAAGTAAGACTGGCAAATTGATTGACTAGGTAGTGAATCTTTATGAACTGAGATGGTATACTCGACACGCAATGATGGCCAGTGTAGGAGTAGGTTGAAAGAAAGCTTAGGAGAACGAAAACAGAGCTTGGGATCAGTTCATAAAGATATTGACTATTATTAGGTACACTTATTACCTGGTTGGGGTCCGCGTGATTATCATAACCAATTGTTAGAGACTTGCAATGACATGACTCAAAATGTCACAAATGTATTCGCTGATTATCTTCCCTTAGGTCCTAATTTTCTAAATTCCTTGTAATTTTTATATATTTTCATTTCAATAACTCAATTTTCTTCTCGAATCACATATAGAATCTTTCCAATTACCATTAATACTGTTACTATTCTTACTACTCTGGGACTTATCTTGACAGTTTCATCCCCTTGTCCTAATGGGGTATGACAACCTGAACCGATGTACATATGTGCCATGTTCTCATTTATGTTTTATATTTTGGACCAATTTTAGATCAACCATTATTTCCTTTTGCATTTAATGATTTTCCGAACTTCGATTTTTCTTTGGGAGTATATTTTGCTGGTTTATTTCTTCAATGGGGTCATATACGTTTATCACATTATACATGGTCTCGGATTGTGAAAATATGCTTCTATTTAGATGAATTTTGTTTAGTTGTGAAAAGTAATGTGAGTCCATTTTACAATTTTTACTTTGTTACAAATCAATGCGTTTTTCAATTAATTATTAAGATGTAAGATAACTATGCAGTCTAATACTTTTTTTTAACCAATTGTTTCCTAATTAACAACATTATTTATTTTTATGGCTTACAACTTCCTCTTTGTGCAGTTTCTTAGGGGTAAAATATATTTATCAGGTATTTACAAATCATTTTACTCAAAATTTTGAATTACTGTTGAATTCTGACTGAGCTTGATTAGTGATGTCAATACAAAACGAATCCTAACTATTGTCAGTGATATTCGATTAACGGTATTGTGAGATCATCAATCCGACTAAATCGTTCGTACAAATATTCTGTCAAATTGATTAGAGGCTATAAATATATACACATATATAAATATACATCCTTTAATATCTATTGTATTCGCAGCTGTTAATGGCTCTAGCTACCTTTATTTGTTTTTATTTCAGCAGATTAAATCTTCATCAAGTCCTCGTATTTTACTGAAGTGTAAATTTGCCTTCCAAAAACTAGCCAGACGTTTCTATAAAGCATGTGTTGAACATCATATGTTTTTTAAGTAAGTCTTTCTATCGAGAATTTTTTGTACTCAAAGATACTGTAGTAATGTAATTTTTTGGTAGGAATGTTTATGAATTTTAATCATTCTACATAGTAAACGTTAAAAACTTATTTTCGGAATTGCTTATAATTTAAATGAAGTGTCTCTTGTAAATGATTCAGCTGGTTTTTATTATGTATAGTCTGTTTAGAAAAGCATTCGATAGTATTATATATCGATTAAATTTTACATACTTCAGGTAAATACAACAACGAAATTAATTCAATAATTATGGTGGTATTTTTAAAGAGCTAGACGAAATCAGTATATTATATGAATAAATTAGATGAATAGAATGAATAGATGTATCCTCTTTATTAAAAATAATCACGGGTTATATAGCAACAAACATTCAACAATTTTCTCTCTAATAAACTGGAACCAAGTAGCTTATAGTTTCCAACTTATCTTTGCATAATAGAAAAACTTGAGTGTTTAGTTGAATTTTATTGCAAAACCATCAATCCCGCTTCCCCTCAGTATAAATAACGTGTTGGAATAATTTGTGATTCCCCTTTGTGTAACACAAGATGGTGTTGTCTTAGTTGATGTGTTTTCCCGGTTTCATTGCTTCAATTATGTCTTTACGCCTAACTTTGAAATCACTCACATAGTTATTTGTTTACACACAAAGTATGCTTCAGATCAACTAACATTGCATGCAATATACCATCTACATTTACTATTGCCAATTATAATACACGAATCGATTGTTTTCGGCCATTTGGTGCTCTTCGAGTAGGTCTTTTGGTATTAAGTTCTAAAAGAGATATCATTACAACTTCGTAAACTAAACAATGAGATGTTTTGCATTTGGTTTCAGTAGTGTTTGTAGATATGAATCACTACGGAGTAGTGGATCCATTAAAGTTATATTGTGAAGTTATGCTTAATACTAGTCACTGATGATATTCATAAATTCAAGTGAGTGAATCATTGACCGATTACTTGTACCTTGGTATAATTTATTTGGTATCATGGTTATATGCAGATTGACGTGTTCATTCATATACACTATTTCTTTCTTTTCACCCCACTTAATTATTATTATTTTCGAATAACACTGAATGATTGGAATAAATGTTTTTTTTTAATGTTTGTGCATGTATTGTAGGATCCACTGCAAACGCTTATTAAATTCAAACATTAATAAGCGAGAATCTTATAAACCTGAACCTATTGTTTTACCTGTAAATCATACATTACATGTAAATAATGAATTATTAAATCCTTCAGTATCTATAAATGGCCCTTGCAGTATTAAATTATTGTCTATGAGTAATTTACAATCACCTAAACTACCAGTCACACCTACACGATCAGAATTTGAACTAGGTATGTTATATTAGCAAATGAAATTGTCTAATGATGTCTGTTTTTTACTAGATTTTTTTCTACTTATCTTTAAGTGTTTTTAGTTAATGGAAATGTGGATTATTTTTGGGTTAATTCCTATGCTTCATATATCACTCTTCCTGTTGACTCTTATTAAATAGCTCCTAACGGTGCATAAATTTCAGAAGACAATATAAAGTGTTGACTACAATTTATTGTTGTACAACTGAGATTACAAAGCTACAAACATACGAAGCGAATACGAATAGAAGTGGGAACGCAAATGAATACGAGCGGACGAACAAATAGGATTTAAGAAGTTATATATATATATCGCTTCACTTATCCTGAGGGTCTCATCAGTCCTGATGGGCTGGTGTCTGACGAAATCTCAGCACATACCCAAAAAGCCTAGTTGGTTTTTGCTAACTTGCAGCACTTGTGGAGTAGGAGAGTTATCTGTCTACCAAATAACTAAAGGACGAGTTTACTTTCAACCAACACAAAGGTCAGGATTTTCAATACAAATGTCAAGACAGTTCTACTGTATGGGGCAGAAACCTGGAGAACTACGAAAGTCATCATCCAGAAAATACAGGTGTTTATTAACAGTTGTCTACGCAAAATACTTCAGATCCATTGGCCAGACACTATTAGAAACAACCTACTGTGGGCGAGGACAAACCAGATCCCAGCGGAGGGAGAAATCAGGAAGAAGCGCTGGAAGTGGATAGGCCACACATTAAGGAAAGCATCCAACTGCGTCACAAGACAAGGCCTCACATGGAATCCTCAAGGCCAAAGGAAAAGAGAAAGATCAAAGAACACATTACCCGGGAAATGGAGATAGACATGAGAAAAATGAACAAGAATTGGATGGAACTAGAAAAGAAGGCCCAGGACATAGTGGGTTGGAGAATGCTGGTCGGCAGCCTATGCTCCATTAGGATTAACGGGCATAAATAAGTAAGTAAGAGTTTACTGTACAGCAGTTCTCTCCGTTCTACTTTATGACGGTGAAAAGTGGCCTTTAGAAATAGAGGATATTTGTAAGTTTCTCGTATTCGATCATAGGTGTCTTGGAACCGTTAATTGTGTATTTTGAGACCACTGTGTAAGCAATGCCTGGGTTAGAAATCAAGCACCAGGTAAAGATGAGAAATTGACAGACGAGGTAGTAAATCTCCATCAACTGAGGTGGTTGGTACATGTGTTACATATGTCCAATCACTGCTGACCAGTCGTTAGAGACTTTGAATGACATGACTCAAAAGCGTTTGCAATGGTGCAGATTCACCCGTTCTGATATTTTACATTCCTTTTTACTGAAATAAACGCTAAGTTTCATTTGCAGATAAAACTTGGCTTCATATGCAATCATAATTACTCGACGTTTTCTTAATTTCAGTAGATGCTATCATATTCATCTAGTGAAAACACCAGACTTGTAGTTTGAACTTATCAGTTATGAAATCTAGCTCTGTTAATCATTCAGTCAGTTGTTGAAACCACATTTCAGATTTTTGTTTTATTGTATCTCATAACTTAATGCATGAATATTACTGTGTTGTTGCTTATTTTAGATATCTATATGACTTGATAAATTGTTCGCAAATTTATTCTTTTAATTTGATTTCCTTTGTAGATCATTTACATTCATCAAACCCACAATTAAATAATTGTCAATTTCCTGAACATTCTACAGAACGTGTACATACTCCTCAGACAGATTCGAAATCTCGAACGGATATGGATTCACTTAAGGTAAGTCTATACCTTATGTTTGTATAAGTCTATTATCATGAATGGGTAAAATTGGACTCCTATTTTTTCAGTACTGTACAGATAGAAAAACAAGATAGTTATGAGCATTAGTTTATCGGAAAAAATGTCCTTCATGTTGCCGATTGGAATAGTACAGAGCATTCAATTGATCCTTCTGTATCGTTTTGACGCATGAAATTACACATACAGATTACAAGCTATTACATGACCATATTTGTCTTTAATGAAGTGCATCATTTTTATTTAGGAAATAACTTTATCACAAATGATGGAACGTTATATTAAAAATATTTGACCCTAGTTCTATAGTAATTTTGGATCTATAAATCGAATATTTGTACAAAAATGAAAAGATTACCAAGTGATTTTTGGGAATCGAGCACCCCAACATTCTTTGTTAGAGTACAGTAAACTGAACAAGTGTAATTTAGAATTTTATTATTCTCCATTATTTGGGCAAATTAATTTTATTTTTACCTTTTTTTTAATTTTTTTAAATAGAAGACCTATTCGAATGACCATTTACTCTTACCATGTACTTCTAATGAACTATCGACACGAAGTGCTTCATTTAATCATTTAGATAATTATTCAGTTGCTCATATTCCCAGTCCAATTGAATGTTCTAGTCGTTTAGATATTTTAAATTCTTCTGTAAATGAGGATAATATTGATGATAGATGTAGATCTGCAAATATTCCATCATATGATTGTTTACAAATTTTAGACGATCAAAATTCAAATCCTTTCGATTGTTTGTGTCGTATTACATCAACTCAAAATGATATACACTCATCGTTTAATATAAATGATAAGTAAGCTCGTAATATAAATCTTTATTTGCAGTGTAGGGTTACTTGTTAATTTTTGTTTCCTTAATAATTTTTTACATTAATTATTAATTCTTAGTTTATAAGTTGATTAAACTGTTCACATCATTTGACCTTTCCTTAAGTTTTTATAGGTTCTCAGACTTATCATCAAGAAGTTTTTACGGAGTTTTAAATGAAAGTTGTGCTTATCATTTAATACTGCAATATTAATTATCAATCGTGATTAGTTTTTCGTATATTTGGAAAGGAATATTATTTTATCATTAGCAGAAACGATTCTTTATCTCAAGTTGACCAAGTACATCATCACATGTACTTAGTCTTGTGTTAGCTTCTCATTTAAAAGAGGTAATTATCATGGTAAAATGGGTTAAGATGTAACAGGTACATGGAAATTCTTCTGTATAACAATATTAGCAGATATCATATATCAGAAATTCCAAAATGATTGTTAATTAGATAAGCTATTGAATATTAGTAAGTAATATTATTAATACACAAAAGATAGCAGATGAGAAATGAATGAATATGTAATTATGCGGCAGATTTGATAGTATTCTCTTTAAGAGTTTATCACAAATCGCTTAATTTATTCCTTTCTACGTTTATACTGTTTGTTATATGAATCCTTATTTTCATTTCTAGTTACTCAGATGATACATTATATTTTCTTTTACCGTTTATGTCGGTAGTGAAACTATCACATGTTTCTGTTATGGAAGAAAAATAACGGTGCTTCGATCTGTTACGTTCTATTATCTTCTAAAGTCTACTCAGAGATTTATAAATTACTAGCAGATGATATCTCGATTTCCTTTTCATTCTTTCTATGAGGTCGTTTGTTAATTTATCTCAAGCGTTTCTATCGTCAACATCCCATGGTTTACGTGTTAGCTTTTGGAAAAACACTATGAAATACCGAAGTTAGTAATGCTTCGTGACAATGCTCATCGAAGTTAATAAAACTCAGTTCAGTCAACTTCATGCTAATAAATCTGATCTGGGAAGTTATGGCTGAAGAAGTAGAGTTAAAAAGAATAAAACTCAGAGAACATCAGTTAGCATTGGAAAAACTAATGTTAATTAATTTAGATCACACAAATTTAGGGAGACAAACTATCGGCTGAGAAATATTATTCACTGAAACTGATCACGAATTTAACTTGGACCGTTCGACGAACGTAAAAGTAATGATTCGAAGAGTCCTTAGCTAACAGGAGTTCTAGAAAAACGTCATGAGAAGAGTGAAACTTATTGTCATTAAGGGAATTCAGCGAAGAAAATCTTGTTTTTTTTAAAAAATGAAATCATTTACTTAAGTTGTACATTCGTATTTGTAGTTTTATGGTAAGGGAGGTCGATTTAAAAACTTATGCACTGCTTAGGCACTGGTAATCCACAAATTCAAGCCTGAACTCTGTGTGTAAAAACGAGACGTCCAACCTCTTATCCTTCCTTGGCCTTAATTCCTTTTTTGTGGTATGATTCTTCTTCTTCTTCTTCTTCTTCTTCTTCTTCTTATTATTATTATTATTATTATTATTATTATTATTTGATTAGTGTTTTGTTAATTGTAAACCGTAATCACTTATTATCTTTTAACAATTTTTCATGATTATCACCCGGTTATTATGATCTTTATGTTTTTCGTTTTTTTTCATATTTGTCAAGTGGACAGTTATCTTTCATAATTCTCACCCGTAAATTATTTTCATCCTTATATTCTTCCAATAACTTTTGATTATTGCGTAACCTCGTTTGATAATAAAAGTCTCGAATCAATTTGTAATGCGATCTTTTATATCCTTCTATAGACATATTTACCATACAACTATAAATACGAATGTAAATAGTTTCGTCGAAAAGAAAATTTACATCGCTGAATCCTCTTGATTTTATTAAATGACACAAAGGGTTATTTTAATTATTGCCATTACTTTATTCGACGATTTAAATGTTTGTAACTTGATCAAAAAGCGAGTGGCTGTTTGATTACAACCCCCTGTATTAATTTCATATATAATCGGTGACAATGTACCCTGTCGAATTTCCGAACATCTAAAACGTATTCTTTGTCATTTTGATTTGATCAGTTATCAGTTATTTGATCAATTATCTGTATTCACTTTCCTGAAATTGTTTTGTGTAAATCACCGGATCTAGAAAGTACACAGTGTATTCAAGCAATATAACCTCCTGTTTTTTGCTACATTCGATACAATACCATAACGTCAAGTTTTGTAAATTCTATAGCCAGATTTATTGGCGGTTTCCTCGAAAAATAGTTTTTAACAGAATCCATTGTATATGCTTTGTTTACATTAAGCGTTTTCGTAATTTGACCCACTTTCTAAATGCCTTGTAATTAGGTTTTGCTTTTTTTAATTTAAGCGTACTTTAAATGCACTGCATATCCTCGTGATACATATGATAATATGCTCTGTCTATATTTTTTAGCCCCATTATTGATTCAGTGCCCACATATTCCGAAAATCCAAGCTTTAAACCATCTATTGATGATACCTGTCAACCTCTTCTTGCTTGTGAAATTCCTAATCTACTACCCACTTTTATTCCTATAAATTGTGCCTTGACAAATCCAATGGAAGAATATTTACCCACTGATATACTTCATTGTTTATCACCTTCGCAGCATATTTCGAGTGATTTTTCACAGGTCAGCATTTTTTTATTTGATTTTGTAAACATGTTTTACGAAACCGGACATAGAAATTTAAAAGATCACTAAAAACGTGTCAACTATTATTGTGTACTTTATGGTTAATTTTTCGCTACTCTTGTACGAAAACATAAACTGTAGCATTTATCAAGTCGGAAACAGTGACGTATACCTATTGATGACATAGTTGTGTTGTTTGAACTGATGAAGGGTGGGAATTATTGGGTTATTATGAACTAGGAAAAAAAACAAATGTCCAATGTATCATGTTTCTGTCAATCTCTGATAAAAAAATACCTTTGACAATTAACAATAAATTCGTAACTATCAATGGACTTCTAGTCATCACATTTTTTCGTGAAGTAACGTGACAACCTAGTGTTCCTGAAGTTTCCGTGGTGTATTGTCCCTTAATAACTAAAATAACAGTTTATATCTTATTTGGTCTGCAAAAATATCTAATTGCCTGTTTTGTCCGGCCTAAGTGATGTATTTTGAATGGGAACTAGTGTAGTTGGTTTGAAATTAAATGAATTGTTAAAGAACTTAGACATGTTGACTTGTTATCAACCCAATATAATTTTCAGTAATATATTTATTGACATGAAGTTGTTCCCGTATTTATGATCCATGGATGTTTGAAGGAAATTAAATAAGACTTATTTTTATTCTCGTATTTAGCGAGATTTCTCTGGAGCTATCGGAAATAGTTAACAAACTGACTGACCTATTCAAAAATTTAGATTTAATGGAGAGCTCCATCATTATGTGATGACTTTTATTGTGATGTACATACTTAATAATCATCTTAATGTAGAGTTTAAGTTTGTTATTAATCATGCCTAAAATATTGGCTGTTGTATTACTATGTGGAACGAATGATTCTTTCTTGAATCAGGCTTAGAATATTTATGTACTGATCATTTCTGTGTACTTTGTCCAATTCTAAATTGCATTCACACGTTTTACATACCAATAATAAGTGTAAAGTGTTTGTACCTGAACTGTATTGTATCTACTATACAAATCCGTGTTCTTGAATTATTTGGTAAATGATTTTTTTGTAAAACAAAACAAATATACTTTCGTGTTCACTCTAACCAAATTATCATTTGTTTAGTTTTAATAAACATAGTTTTGAAACTTCTCTGAAATAAAACACAGTGTTGTTAACCACTTATTTGCTGATTTTTATTGAAATGGAAGCGTATATCACTTAGTATCAAGGTGTCTTGCTTAATTTATAGAAAAATTTGACTTGTGATATATATGCTAACTATTAATAATATAGTGCAATAAAATGAAACCTTTAGAGATATAGAAAAATAAGACTTAGAATTTATGTTATAGCCTGAAAACTAATATATATCTTATATATTCTATGCTATTCACGTATTCCTAATTCCTTCGAATTTCTTAAATTGTCAATAGTACATTACACAAATTGTTAACCATGTAATATGTATAAGATAAATGTTTTATTATTGTTTTTATAGCCTATTAAAATCATTAAGAAATCCATCTATAGTTTCTTTTTTTTTCATAAGCATATCTGATTCTCTGGTTGATATAATGACTTTAAAAAGAACATGTACACTTAGCATCGACTATTCAGTTGATTTGTTCGATCTGTTTGTTATTTATGGAAAGCTTTGTTTATTTGATTATCTAAATTCATTTGATATTGATCATTGATCATTACGTTCTACAATTTCATCTTAATCGGTATTTAAATATTTGTATCAATTTAGTATAAAATAAGTGATTGTTTTAGAATTAACCCGGAATGTTATGTAATACTTAATTAATAAGAGTCTGATATCTTTTTGGTTGGGAAATACTTTTAAGTGGTTGTAAATGTTTAAAATGCAATATTTATTTATCATTTGGGGAATTCTGTCAATAAACTGTGGTCTAGAGGTTAGGTGTTTGTGCAAAATCGAAGGTGCTTGGTTCGATTCCAGTGTGCGAAATCATGGATATGCACTCCCGAACATTTTCATACTAGAATGAAACGACCGTTCAATGCTCCAGGTTTTCAATAATGATCTAACATTGATCGGTTCATGATCTTAAATAAATTGTCAACTTTGGGTTGTAAGAGTGTTCACTGGTTACAAGTTGCAAACTTCATTGAAAGAACTATAAAGTGTTTTTTGTTTGTTACTACGTTATCTGTCATGTAAACTATCCTAATATGTTATACATCTAGTGTTATTTTCTTTTCAATATTAAATGGTAGTTATATACTCTAACACCTTTCTTTGTTATTATTGTATGAAGGTAAAGTTTTAGTACTCCTACTGATACGTTTACACTTTTGCTATCCATACACTTTCCACTAATCAAATATCAAGTATTTTATAAACGTGAAATGTTTTCATTTAATGTTTATATTTTCTATTCTTTTGTCTCATAATATTTCAAATAATAAACTGTAATCGCATTTTATACTTAGATTGAACTGATGAGACCTACTGATTCATTATGGTGTTGTAATCTGCTTTCATCTGTTGACCTGAATTCATTAAACAAAATTATTGCACCATCATACTCATCGGTTATTTCTTCTAATGGTGAAATTATTCGCTTGGACCCTTCTACAAATAATAATATTTCTAAGTCTTCAATGTCTTCTCTTGTTCCATGCGACTTTTTCCGCTGGAACTCAATTGAAAAACAGGTAAATTGACTACAACAGTTTTCTTCATTGTTTATTTTCGCTGTGATTTGTAGTGAAAAAAATTTTCTCCGTAAAATATCGATTCAAATATCGTTTTGTTATCGTCAGTTAAATTCATCTGAATAATTAATTCGCTATTAAACAGGCTAAGAAAACTGTCTGATCAGCTTAATTCGATTTGAAATAATTTGAATTGTGTCACTGTTGATATTTTTTGTTTGAAATGTGATCAGGCTTAGTTGACATATGTTTACTCTATACAGATTGCTTCGATATATCCATTACTACGCAAGGTAATATAGAATAGGTGATATGCACATAGTAGTGAAATTCAAGGCGAGGGTTTTGTCCTGCTTAGGGCTCGTCAGCTGGATGCACCTACATCCTAGAGTTGATGTTCATTCCAGGACTGAAAATAATTTAATATGGCCTAACAAATAATGATTACACTTACTAAAATGAAACTGATATTCAGTTAAATAAAAGTTCGGTTTTTTTGTTTATCGTATTCACCATATTACTTTCTCTATAATATTTCTACGTATTAAGTATTAACAATTGATTGAGAGAGTCCATGAAAAGCTTTGTACTTGTCATTAACGTACCAATGTAACCTATATATAAATAGTTGCAGACCAAAATTAATCATGTGATAGTTTGGCATGCTTCGTCTGTAGATTTATTGACTTTATTTATTTAACAATATAAAAATTGGTATAAGAAGGCACCAAATATATATGTGCCACACAAATCATTAGATTTGTGTGACGACTGAGATACTTCCTGGGCACCCAAATCGGAGCAAGTGGTCTTCTTATTAGGCCACACCTCGAGCCTTTGATTTAGAGTTCTAGTCCATAAGACAGTGGAGCAATGTTAGGAGATGCAGTCCCACGATAGTTGGTGACCAACAACAGGTTCATACACCATTTGTTCCTTCAGGACCCTGAAGCTCATATGCACCATTGGTTTGAAATCAAAGTTATCCTACTCCGTGTCCACCAACTCGGTTTTAGCGCCGAAGATTCAATTTTGTCCTTTCAATTTCGTAAACAGCACCCTGCTACGAGAAGGCAGTGAATAGGACTTTCATGACAGTATCTGTATACGCGTAGCGATGTGAGAGCATTTCGAGAGTGAGAGTCGACTCTTCCCATCCTTGGCCATACCAGGGCATTTGTAAATTAAAAGTTGTACTAATGTAGCTACAGCAGAGTTCAAATAAAACTTGAGTATAATCTCATTTTATTTGAATAACATTGATATTTTATGCTCATAACTGTATATTAGTTGTATATATCGACCTAGTGGTCTTTATTGTGTTTCAGTCCCTCTTGATGTTAATGTTATTGCCTAAATTTTATAGATTTCATTGTAAAACTATAAACTATTAGCTACATAAGATTATAACATAAAACAATATTCATTACTTTTAATAATTAAAAGTATATTTGATCATATTGTATTGATTATTTCCTCTCCGTTTCCACCCCACTTTTATAGGCTGTATATCATTCAATACCAATAGTTCGAACACGTACTATCCGATTTATTCTCGATCCATCAATACAGATTAATGAGTATAACACTTTTAATCATTCAAAAATTCATATTGTACATGGTACTAATATACCATTAGTTCCAACTAGATCATTTTACCATCATTAGTCAGTTATTATTATTATTATCATTAGTTATTAAGTGTTATTTTGTAACTGAATTCTTCTTTTTGTTTCTTTCTCTATTATTCTTTTTTTCTGTTGTTGATACAGTTTGATATTATTTCAATTTTGATAAATTTTCTTTCGACCCCACATTATTGGTTTGTTTCTTTTTCCTAATTGCATTTCGACTGTACGAAGCATATATACATAAATATTGTAACCATATTTTCTATCTTTTCAAAATTAGTTTTGTTAGTCTCTATGCCTATCCCTTTTTTGTTGTTGTTGTTCCGTTTAGTTAACGATTATGTGGACAAAGAAGAACATTAATCAAGAATACTTATTATTATTATTCGAATTGATTATTTCTTTTCTGTTTTGTTTTCATCTTTTCTTTTTCTTTGTCTTATCTAATGTTTATCCTTGATTTTTATGATGATTATTTTGTATTTGTGTTTAGTAAATCTAAGAGAATTTCACACATGTTTTCTGTTTGTTTGTTTTTCTTTTAATCTTAAAATTGTAGTTTATTGTTTAATTTTCATTGAAATAAAAATCAATATGAACTTTGAGTATTTGTTATTATTGAGTTTGAAACACTTAGTCCCTTTGATAAATTTTAATAATGCAATGAGAAGATGAAGTTTAACAGAATTATGTAATATATTTGCGCAATACGTTGTTGTTGAACACATAAAGGGGATTTCAATTTCCGTATAGCCATGGATACAATAAACCTTAGTATATGTCCTTGAAGGCTTTTGTATAACATTATAAATGCTGATTTGACGTCAACCTTACGAGTTTATTAAAAATGTGGATAGATTTTAGTATTGTACATTGCTTAGAAACTATACATAATTTTTTATATGTTTCATTTTAAGGTGAATAATACTATTGAAGAACGTGAAGTAGATTTAAGTTAATGTTAAAGTTTATCAGGGATTGTATATCTGTATTTAGTTAGTGTGGTCAATATTTATAAGGAAAAAGGCTATTCTTTACTTTGTATAGATTATGGTTAACAGTGGATTAAAGAATATACACTTCCTTCTATTTGGAACTTGTTGATTGAATTTATCTTCATCCAAGTTATCGTATTTGCACTTTGTTGAGTCGGCTTCCGGAGAACTTCAACGGAGCCTTCAGAGGCCCGAAAACAGCCGGAGTCCTAGCCAATCAGAGCATGATGGAGCATTCTAGAATTCCAACGTGGCGTGCTACTATTGGTCAGTAGCATAATATATTGTTAACGGATTGGCCGAAATATAATGTTTATTTAACAAAAGTTAGCATCTATAAATACCCATGTTTTCTGTACAAAAATGAACCTTGGAGTAAAGTGTTTCCCTCATACTTTGCGTCTTCTTTCTGGTGTTCAGGTCGCTGTATAGTTCTAGCGTGTGGGTTATCAGAATAGCTTAGGAACGAATATAGCGTCCACATCAGCAAGACTTAACACACTTCTCAATATATTTAACATTTGTAGCTATATGAAAATTAAAAAGTCAATTGGAAATGATATTTTAATATAATTAATTTACAACGTTATCCGTTTTATCAATGTTTATTAGTAGAGCGGTGGTTTAATCTGTAGACAAATTAACACACGACAAATAGGTCACTAGTTCGAATTCTACTATGACCCTTTTTGATTCAAGCAGCCAGAAGTTATCGTTATCCCTTACATAAAAAATGCGGATGTAAGCTGACTATATAAATCTGTACATGTCAAGTGATTGATTTTTATTATTTATGAATATGTTTCAAATATTATTATTATCACTGCTTGCATCATTTATACGCGTACCGGCATATAATTTATACTAAATCCTCTTATATTATACAACTTTTAAGTAACATAACAATATACTTTTATATATAGGTTGTTGTGCGATTGGTAAGTCACCGAAGAGTGAAAAATGTCATATTAGTCTTGCTGATTTGACTTTGCGTGCATCATATTTAAGTGCTAAGTGGTTGAAGATAGTCGACAGGACACCCTGTTTGATCTATGTTTCGTACTATTTGGAGCTTGTAATTTTGATGCTCCCGACTGACTGACTAAGATTTGAAGTCTGTAATTAGCCTCATTATGGTAGTCAAAGTACAAATTAGACGAACAAATAGTTTTAATTCAGCATCCTTATCACAAATCTACAAAAAAAATAAAATTAATACTAATTAAGTAACTGTGAGTATTATAATATTATGTATTTGGATTTAGTGTTACTGCCGAGTTACAAAAACTGTTAACGTTAGAATAAGAATATGAGTCGCAAAATGTCAGCTCCATTTTGAAAGGATCATTTGATAAGATAAATGTTCAGAGTAAAGAAAGGCTGCATAAATAATTTTCAAGCATATCAAGTGGATTTATTCGTCCCGACATATGGAGAAGATAAAATATCGAAGCTGATGCCAGCTGTTTAGTATTAATTATTGTCTCTATGTAACTATTTGAGATTATGTTTCTCATATGCCTCATGATTAACTTGTCTGGTTTGTTTTAGTTTTTAATGCGAATATGCTGAGGACCATTTGTGAACCACATGTGTTCTATACCAGTTCGATAGCAAATGCGATCACCGTAAGAAAGCTTAATGTAAATCCTGGGAAGTAGATTCATCTCATTAACTCTCCCTTGTTATTGTGATAAATACATGACTCGTCTTGTGAATAAAACCAAGCCAAGTACAGGTTCTATGTGATCGGTTTTCAGTTACACTGTTCGTGTTTTGGTGATTGATACTACTTGGTGGCACCGAAGTTTATGTTAATCAAATTCGGTCCTTTAATCACTAGGCTACCACTTCACAGAGTATTAGCATCTTATATAAAGTGATATGACACGAATTTCTTAACTATATCGAATGGATACTTGGTAGTTATTTTGATACGCTTCAATATATTCAAGCACATAAAATCTTGGATTTTTACAAAGAAAAATCTAATGATTACTTAAACAAGCAGTAGTTTATCGTTTTTTTGGCTGCTTGACCTTAATCTTGTGATGAACAAATGTAGGTTAATGTCGGACCGAAAGACTAATTTTTTTGATTAAGGAAAGAGAAAAAATTTATTAATGTCCCTTTAATTTGAGGATTAATCGAGTGATTAGTTCGATCAATATTTGTTGTACTATAAGCCACTTAAACAAAATGTACCTTGATTGAATCGGTCAATTTAAATGCTTTACAAAAAGCATGATATTAAAAGTTAGAAAGAAGAAGTCTTATTTTAACATTTTCTTGATGACAATTTAGTTATTACATAATTCATAAAAGGAGGTTTGTGGAGAATGAGGGATTCTCATAGTTTAAGTCACAAATTGTTCTTAACTAGGCTATCATTTGATAGCTGTTTCGTTCTGATAAATGATTCTTCAACAATGCACATGACCATTGCTCCTTTTACTAGTTACTTTTATGTGATCTTGTGATTTTAAACATTGTGAGTAGTTTTGACTAAGGAATATGGTGTTTTTATAAGTTACGTCTACTTCAGTAGTAGTTGTTACCGGTATATTTATAGAAAAATCTATCTATCCGTGAATCGATGGCAGAAATTATAGAAGAAGCTTCAGTTTTATTTACGAAAATAACAAACATATTTGTATGATTACATTTGAGTTAAAGATTCTAGTAGCTTCTGGAAATCAAGCAACAGATTCGACAGTTGTTCAAATAAGATAATAGGAACAATTTGTTACTTTTTAAAATTCTTTTGGAAGCTTCGCAAGATTACTGTTCGATCGAAATATTTTCTCGATTCTTTTTATTTACGAACAACATTTTTGAGGAATTACCGATCATTATTATCACGGTACTTCATGTACTTATTATTCATCCAAAATAAATTCAGAGAAATAAATGTTAAAAAGAAAGTTTGGTAACTACTAGTATTAGAACAAAATATACGCACCTATTCGGATTGATTTTGATATGGTAATGATCAAGTATAGTAGAAATGTTTTTTCTAAATAATTATCGAATTTGCTGTTTGACAAAAATAACCATTCATAAAATCAGGATTTTTTAAAAATATATATGTGATTGACTTAAATACATCTTCAGACTGTTATATGTTATATCCCGCGAGCCGGATCGTGGATGCGCACTGCTGAGGAGTCTCACAATGGGACGAAACGGCCGTCCAATACTTCCAGGTTTCCAAATGTGGTCTAACATTAGTCGGTTCATGATCTCAATCGAAAACATGATGGTTTGATTTATACGAATATTCGTCAAGATTAGAATGAACAGTTTTACAGCAATTGGGCGCCGAGTATAGAGAAATTCATTATATGTGGAAATTATATTTGAAATAACCTCAGCGATTGAAATTTAAATAATAATTCCAACGTTTCGTCCAGCTAACTGATCTGGACTTCTTCAAGGTAATAATTAAAATCATCAAAGAAATATATAACGCTTTAACAATCAATCAGAATAAATCTATACTGTGCTAATCCAATCATATTTGGATATTGATTTTAGTAAATAGGAAAACATGAGTGAGTTAAAGGCAAATAAATGACAGGAAAGAATTGTCTGTGTGTGTATTTATGTATGTGCAAAATTGAGTTAATAATGGATGATATTCGGTGTTAATATGTTTTAAATGAAGGAAAGATTTGAGTGCGTGTTGAACGGTAAAAAAAGTGTATCTGTTGACGCACATGTAAAATGAGAATCATGAAATGCAAAATTGTATTGCTGAAAATAACTCACATTAATTCAAGTCAAAATAACGATGGATGTGAAATAAACATGTTGAATAAACAAAGGGTCCAATTACTTGTCAACGAATATTTGTCAGGTAGTCGATAGTTGAATAATATCCTTCCGGTTCAAGCTGTTCTTGTTCGCCCATATATACAAGGCTTATGCGGTCAATCTTTCTTTATGAGTATTAAAACGTTTCGGAAGTGTTTTGGTCCCTTCAAAACTAATGTTCTGTCCTGTCTCTAACCTATGTATCTCTATCGAAGACGTATTCTCAAGTTTCTTTAAGTCAACTGATGATTTGGGAATATTTTTCGAACACCATTTGTGTTCCCTCAACCTTACGTTTTTCGACCTCCAAATCGCACTTTTATTTCTCCTTAAATAAAACATGTTAACATCGAATATCATTCATTATTAAATCAATTTTGCACATACATAAATACACACACAGACAATTCTTTCCTGTCATTTATTTGCCTTTAACTCACTCATGTTTTCCTATTTACTAAAATCAATATCCAAATATGATTGGATTAGCACAGTATAGATTTATTCTGATTGATTGTTAAAGCGTTATATATTTCTTTGATGATTTTAATTATTACCTTGAAGAAGTCCAGATCAGTTAGCTGGACGAAACGTTGGAATTATTATTTAAATTTCAATCGCTGAGGTTATTTCAAATATAATTTTTACATATAATGCTAATGATTTGGTGTTATGCAACCATTCAGCGATGAAATATTATCCTTTTGTTTTTTGTAATTACTATTATTAACTTATATATTAGTTAGAGTTGACGAAAAAGTTATCCTAATAGATACAAGTTGACTTATATGGATTTTCTATCGGATTAGACATTCTGTCAAGTACACTTTCTATCTTGAAGTCAATCATCATATCCTTTTCTTCAGTTAAAAGTAACTAAAAGATTTTCTACCTCTATTAGTCAATCTACATATTCTCCTGGTTAAAATTATTTATTCAATGACTATATCTACTTCTAGGAAAAACATCTTCCTACGCTTCTCATTTTCATATATATATTCCACTCCATTGAAATTAATGTTAAAAGGAAGAAAATTATAGGAAGACTCTTTTTACTTCAAACCGCATAAATTAATTGAAGATCAGGATTTTGATTTACCTATAGTCAATCATGTCTTTTGTACTGAACGATAAGAAATCTGTTAATAATAGTTATATGATGGGTGTTGAATAGTTAAAAGGTTTTAGCAGTCAAGACATTAGTTTTCGTGTTTAGAAGGAAGAAACTCTGTGTTTGTAATTGGATTTAAGGGTGAATGTAAACTTCTCAAAGACAATGTGTCTTTATTTCCATATATATATATATATATATATATATATATATATATATATATATATATATATATATATTATTCAAAATAGCTTCCACATTATCTATAGGATTTTTATATTCAAAACTGCAGTGTACAGTTTTATGAAATAGGTAACTCTTCAGACAACTTAAGGTACTACAAATGTACTTAAAAACAATACTGATAACTGTTCGACAGTCCAACAATATTTTTATTTGATACAAATTTTTGTGAAAATCAAGCCGACTTGACTACTGTGTTTGATGAAAGAGGTTCGTAGCTCAGTTAGAGACGTTTAATGGTCACGTATTCTCTAAGTTGGGTCGTTTAATTGTGAAGCTTTCACTGGCGTTCTGGATAACATTTACATTTAACACAAAATTCGCAATTAATATAGTGCGATTAAGCCCTTTAAATCACAGGTTGCAGCCTCACTAACAACTCGTTTCTATTTCGTCATTAGCTGATAAACATGAATCGTTTTATCATAAGGTGTAGCAATTATTTGGTCTTCAATAATTCTAATGATAATATATCAGTATGCTATCTCTTTTACTTTTCCTATCCAAAGTAGAATGTTAAAAATAACTAACACAGTCTTAATAATAAGGTTGGTTCTTTCCGTAATTTTTGTCAATCACTGACAATAATGACAATCTAGATTAATAAACATGCTAGTTAGTATACATTTATTATTTCTAAAATGATTCCACATGCAACATACATACCTTTAAATAAATCATTGTACAAATGTGCATCATTAGACCAGTTTGCCACACACAATATCAATACAGAAATATGCAATTTAAAAAGTGAATAACAAATGAATTGTTGGTTCTAACAATGATCAAAAGACTAGATATACAAATGTTAGTTCATAAAACAATGTGACAAATAAATTAAAGTACATGACTTAACATAGAAAATAAAGAATGGATGTATTTGTATTAAGCCAACCTAAATTAAATTATGTCATGTAAAGTCCTCAACCATTTATCGTGTGGAACTCAACTAAGCAAGGTAATATAGATGATATTAACTAATCCGACTAAAACCAACAGGTTTATGAATATAGATTTCTATGAATGACTTTAAAATTTTGCAAACTAACAACAATAATAACAGAAATAATCAGAAAAGCTCATTTTAAATGCTTGTTTATATTATCATTACTACATAGATTATTAATATTATCAAATCAATTAAATAATGACATCAAATAGATAAATAATTCATAACACTGGTTCTTGTTTCCAATGGTTTGTTTACTGTTGAAACAATCTATCGAAATTCACTACTCAAATAATAATTTGATATCCATCATTATTATTACTATTAATATAGAAATAATATAACATTGAAGAAATGAATTAACCAATTGAATTGTAATGAGAAACTGTGCGCATGATCAGCTTTATTGTTGTTGTTGTTTTTGTTTGAATAGTATAATATAATGACAGGTGGATCACAAATTGTCTTTTTCTTTTTACACTCTATAAATGAATATGTATCTATAAGCATTTCTATATAAGTATGTATATATATATGTATATGATTAATAAGAATAAATAGAATGTATTCATATTCATACTTTCAATAGAATTAAACAAAATAATTACATAGTAACAATGAAATAAATTGAAAATTGAATATTATAAAAAAATATCTAATTGTGACATGAAATAATTATCTGAAAAAAAAGAAATTTATGACTACTTAATTGTCATTAGATAGTAGTAAAGAAAAATAAAATCAAATCATCTATTGGAACAGATCCAATATTTTAAACAAATAATAATCAAGTTTGTTGATAAATAAAACGTTTTACATTGTGTTTTTTTGTTTTTGTTTCTCTCTAAACGTCTTGGTAAAAGAACTATGAATAGAATGTCCTGGATAAATAGGATCATTTATTAAAACTATTGTTTGTTGTTGTTGTTGTAAAAAATCATTGGTATCACAATTGAACTTAAAAATACACATAACTGAACCTTTTCTTTTCAAGAATGAAGAATAGAATATGGTAATCATACAAAAGGATTGCACAAAAAGAGAATAGTTATGTATATATATGTATATAGTATAGTTTATAATGAAACGAGAAAGTTGGAATCAGTTTTTACGACTTTACAAATTATGCTGATATTAATATTAATAATAATAATAATAATTCATTAAATAAATAGGCCATAGGAACAACAACAACAACAAAAAATAAAACAAAGAAAAAACGACAAATAACAAAAAAAATATTGAATGAAATAAATATTATATCTGCATTGATTTTATTTATTTTTTTTATATCTTTTTTTGTATAGTTGACATGGAATTATTAGTTCATAATATATAATAAATTCAACCCCACCCCCACCCAAAAAAATAAAAAAAATTTCTTTTTAAATGAATGACCATATTTCAAGTGTGGTAATCACAAAATCTGGTGATGATAAAGTTAATTGTGGACTATCAAATGTTTCACAATTGACACTATGTCCATGTAATAAATGATCATCAAGTTGAATTGCTGAATGACCTCTGAAATAAAATAAAATAATGAAAAAGTATGTAGAAAAGAAGATAACGAAATGATCACAATGAAAAAAAACAATGTTGAAAGTAAGAAAACTGTAGGAAAAAAATATTGGATGCCAGTTCCATGGTCTAGAGGTTAAGAGTTTGAACGTGAAACCGAGGGTTCTAGGTTGGAGTCATGTATGCAGAATTGTTGGTAAGTACTGATGAAAAGCTTCATACTAGACCGAAATAGCCTTTCAGTGCTTTTAGATTTTTAATGGTGGTCTAACTTATATCGATTCATGAATTCAATTATTAAAAAGATATTAGCTCGTTCGTAATACTGAATTCGAATGACAAAAACGTACACTTTAGGATAGATTATTAATTGCTGCTTGGTAATTTAAGGAAACCTATATGTTTAGTAAGAATTCATTTCAATTTTTCATGCACATATTTATGGATAACCGGGGATTAGAGAATGAAAATTACAAACATGGTATTTTTTCTTCAAGCTTTCATGTATCTTAGTGACGAGTCTTTTCTAGTACATTACCACCAGTCTATAATAATTTGAGAATTATTAAAAATTACGATATGGTACACATATATTTCATTCTTTTATAAAACTCTTCTGTACTGTCCATTTACAGTCACATGATCTACTGGTTTCTCAGAGAAAATAACAGTCAATCAAGAGCATATACCTTAGTACATATGTGCATTGCTTCAAGTTGTCGCATCATGTCAGCACCGAAAGACAAAATTATTTAGATGAATATCAGATTCCTGGAAGCAATAAGAATTTCATCTGTTGTATGAGTTATTAGACATATACACTATGATTTGTGAATAGACGAATTTTGGGAAATAAAACGTTCAAGATAATCCCAACAAACCAAACTAAATGCAAAACAATGAGTGAATGCAAATACGCCACTATCGCTTTCAATACCACCATCATTATATCGAATGGAATGTAATTCTTCATACATGATTATCATGTTTTCACTATTAACAGGAAAATGTCACACTCATATGATCAAACAATAAACTGAACAAACCTTTAGAAATCCAGTGACTATTAAAAATATGTACAATTTTTTTTAACTGTCTCTAGCTTTTTAACATTTAGTACATATAAATGTATTGTAAAAGTGCTTGTTTAAAGATTAAACTAAACGCACATTGAACAGTGGAAGGATAAAGAATCAGCTAAAAACGTAAAGATAATAATAATATCGAATAGCTAAAATTAAGAGCATTAGAAGGATATAATAAAACCAAATTATCGTTTATGAGAATTAAATGTTAAGGCCATGGAAAAATAATGCCTTGCACATATCTCCTTTGCACATTGAGTTCAGGTTTAAAAGATGGGTTCCTAGTGATCCAGAAGTGCATACGTTACTAGTTTGCGCATCTTGTGGACAAAATCATCTGACTATATAGATGATTTAAAAGGACATGTCAACGCGGTCATGTGACTGGAGTTTACAAGATGTTCTAATATAGAACTGTTGATTGATGTACAGTCACCTTTCTAAAGCCACGCGGGATAATGTTCGTAGATGCGTTTGGAAAAAGTTCGCTTTGTGCGGCCTATGTAGCCTGTTTCACATAAGAGCAAGTGTACTTATATATAGGGCTGATGGATGATGTTGTTAGCAATGTTAACTAGTTGCTCATACGGAAGAAAGGTAGGACGATATTTACAACTATGATCTAGCAAATAAGACCCGAGTGATTTTATTTTTACAAAGTCATTGCTAAGTTATGTTACTTGACTTCAACATTCATCGATCAATTGCATAACTGATAAGCATTTTCAGTACTATTCTCAACACTAAAATCAGTGAGTATTCAGAAAATATGTACAAAAAATGCATATTCATCATAGACAGTTAAATTTGTTTACTGGAATAAGAATGACTAGCTGTTGATTCATCTGAAAAATTCTTCAGAATAGAGAATGAATGTTTATTATAAAAAGTCAGACCTTAACAAATTACTAGCGCATACCATTGTATATAATACAAGAGATATTTTGACATTATAATTTATGGACAAACCAATCAAATTTAGGATAATAGGTTTTTGATTTCAGCGCGAAATTCATTCATCCATTTGTCTAAATAGCGTTTTGACATTTTAGTTGATATCAGTTCGTAATAGAAGCCATTAATCTAATTCTTAACCCTAACCATCAACTGTAAATCATTATCCTTATTCTACAAGATGCTTCATAACTCTCATCTAGCCCTAGTAAGTAGGTGGATATCCTCAAGGTCACTTGTAGCGTCGCTCAAATGTTGTCCCTAAATTATAGTCTTACTGATATTTTATTTAACACAAACAGGTAAAATATGTAATGAATTAATACTTTCTAGTCTGGTAGAACAAATAAATACTACACAATTACTTGGAAAGGCAATAAACTGCATACAGCTTTTTATTAAAAAAACTTGGGTTTAGATATAGTGAATATACTGGTGATCAATCATACTTTTAATAATGTACACTCCATAAGTAAAAATAATTTGAATTAAAGTCGTAATTAGAAAATGGATTTGTTAATTTTCTTTAATCTTACTAGTGCTTTTAACAGCTTAATTAAAAGATATACACTCATAGTTTTTCTTCGAATATAAAAGTAAACAAGATCCTAACTTATTCTGGAAATCATAGACTATTTGATTCCTTTCATTCTGCTAATATAAACTGATAATTATTTCCAGATAAGTTGACTTAGAATTATTAAGTTTTTGGATATTTTTATAATGTGAATGTATTTGGAAAACAAACATATTTGAAATCATGAGTCAATTGAAGCCAGACCACCATGGAAAACCTGAAAGCACTGGACGGCCGTTTCGTCCTAGTATGGGACTCCTCAGCAGTGCGCATCCACGATCCCGCCCCCTGCAAGATTCGAACCCAAGACATATCAGTCTCGCGCGCGAGCGACTAACCATTAGACTACTGAGCCTGGACTCAACTTCATTTCTGGAGTTCTAATGAGAAGCCGTGACCAGTGGAGTTCAATCAGGTCTGTTGTGAGATATCAGCTCACTGAAGACAATGGTATACGGTGGCGCAATTTCGTGGATTGTTTGAAGTTAGATATTAACACCATTGGATGCCGGTTCAGTGGTCTAATGGTTAGGTGTTCGCGCGCGAGACTGAATGGTCCCGAATTTGATTGTCGCAGGTAGGCGGGATCGCGGAAGCGCACTGCTGAGGGGTCCCATACTAGGACGAAAAGGCCATCCAATGCTTCCAGGTTTTCCGTGGTGGCCTAGCTCCCAATTGATTCATGATTTCAACTATTGAAATTTCTAAAATCTCCAAAAAACCCCTTGCAATAATTAGTTTAATATCCATTGATATATTCAAGTTTTCTTAAAATGCCTACCAAAACAATTTATCATAAGAAAGAATAACAGAATAAGCTATGTAATTTAACTAACCCATATATAAGATAATTTTTGAAATATTGTAGCATAAAATTAAATATTCAACTTGACCAATCAAAATTCCTGTTTCTCCAAAAAATTTTTTGTTCTCATGGTTACCTACCGATTTCTAAATCTAGTAAGCATTGTAATAAATAATGTTTTGTTGATTCTATCTGTACGGTTATTGTCATTATTATTACTAAGATTATTGGTTATCTTAAAGAAAAAAACTATACAGACCATTAAACAAAACAAAAAAACATTTCTAACCTAGAAAAGAAATTTGTTTAGTATACTAAACGAAGTCCATAAATACTTTGGTCAAATGATAAACCAAAAGGAAAAGAATAATATTTATTAACTTAACTAAATCACACGTAGAGAGCACGTGTACTTCTATTTTCCAATGTTATGTTTGTATTTCTATGTATCTATTTGCTTGATATTTGCTTGAAAAGTTATATACACATATATGTGTATACGAAAGATCGGGATAGAAAATATATAATAATGAAAATAAAGCAAAACAAAATACAAATCGAAATTCACTTACTGAGAGCATCCTATAGTAAGCGAATCATAATCACCATTAATAAAATAGGAATTTTTACCGCTCCATATAAATTTCTAAAGTAACGTTTACAAAAAAAAACAATTATAATGATAATAATAACGCAATGAAGTAGTAGGAACGAAATATAGAAAAAAATATGGATTTACAAACGATTTGGAATACTAGTGATAAATAATATCTCAACAAATGAGATTATTTGAATGGTTGAGATCATGAGTCAATTAAATCTAGACCACCATGGAAAACCTAAAAGCACTGGTCAGCCATTTCGTCTTATTGTGTGACCCCACAGCAGTGCGTATCCACGATTCCGCCTTGCGAGATTCGAACACAGAACCTATCAGTCTCGTGTGCAAACGCTTAACCACTAGACCACTGAACCGACATCCAACAGAGTTTATCCACGAAATTGGGTGACACATCCACCAATGTCTTCAGTGAGTTACTGTCTCACAATAGACCTGGTTGAACTCTACAGGTCACTGCTTCTCACTAGAACTCCAGGAAATACCTTTTGAAGCCAGTCATTAGTGAGCATATGTTGATTCATATCAATTGACTCATGATTTCAACCATTGAAATTACTACAGTATCTACAAAACCCTTTCTGAAATGAGATTATTTTGAAATTGATATCAATTGACAGTATAATATTTTAGCTAATTGTTTATATGAACGTGGTGAAATATATCATTGTACCGATCAATAAATGTAGGATAATTTTCTGTTTAGAAACATATTAACTTTATCAATTTTATCGAATGAAATTGTTGATATTCAGTTACTTATGTTCAACTTAATAGGCATAGATAGAAATAAATTATTAGATTTTTGATTGAGATCATTAATCGACCAATGTTAGACCAGCATTGAAAACCCGCAAACACTGGGAGGCTGTTTCATCCTAGCGTGGGACTCTTCAGCAGTGCGAATCCACGACCTTGTATATTGGACTCGAACCTAGGACCTCCGGTCTCGCGTGCAAACGCCTAGCCTTTAGACCACTGAGTCGGCATCCAATGGTGTTAATGTCTAATTTCAACCAATCCACGATATTGCGCGACTACCTTTTATTTTCTTCGGTGGGTAACTGCCTCACACCCGACATGAATTAGCTCCACTGGTCACAGCTTCTCACTTGAACTCAAGGTTTTCAATGTTAGTCTAGCATTAATCAATTCATGATCTCAATCAAAAGTCAACAATCTACACAATCCCATACTGTGGACTATTAGGTATTATTTCGTTTATGACAAAGTAATGATGAATATTTTGTGACAAATGAAATGAACAGTATATCTATTTTTATTAATACAGTCATTATCATTATTATCAGTTGATTTACTTGGAATGTTTGTTTTTTATCCTGTTCTGGAAATTCTCTTTTATCATCATAACATAAATGTGCAAATTCCTTAGTTACAGTTTCAGTTCTCATATCAAATGATGAAGAAGATGAGACTAGATCAGAATTATGATTGTCTGTTACTAATAATACCGATGATGATATTGATGCAGAGTTCACATCTACTGGTATATTCATTAATTTATTAGAAGTAACTGATAAAGATGTAGAATCTTGTTCATTGATTGAATTACTATTTTCTTTTAATTGATCTTGTTTTGAATCAGTTGTATTGATCCATCGAAATACAAAACATGATCCATTACCATAGAATCGACCATTACTTGGATAAGGATGTGTATTAAGCATTGCCCCGAATATCTAAGTAATTAGAAAAGAATTCATAGAAAAATTTGTAAGTAACATGGTTAGATTTGATAGTTTTGAATAGATTAAGCATTAGGTAGAAGTAGGTCAGAAATACAAATTTCTACTCATTGGAATATTATAAAAAATATAATTATCATTATAGAAAAATTGTTTAAAGCATTCTACATTTTTATTAAAAACACGCAAATCATTGAACGAAGAATATTATTTTTCAATATAAGTTCATTCCAGGTTCTACAGTTATAAATCCCCCTTTAATGATCCAGAAGAATGGTCATATATCAGGCAAATACATGTTCAAAAATAATAATAACATATTAATTGAGAACTTAATTTTACTAATGTACATACAACATTTCACTTTGTAGTTTCATCATAAGATAGGAATGATATATTTTAATATTTTTCAATTACATGGTCTTTTTAGTGGTCCGGGATCTGACTCCAATTAGATAGTATTAGTGATCTCAATTGAATGATGGCTATCGTAATATATGTCGCCTATCCTCGTATCTAATCATCGACTTAACTAGTGTTAGTGAATAATGGAATTAAAATAATTCAAATATGAGAAAGGATTTCGAATACATATATTTTGTCGTTTAAAAATCCCCGTCATATTAAAAGACTAATATTTGAACGAAGAATATTCTTTTCGATAAATTCTCTTCAGGTTCTACAATTATATATCCAAATTATTAATCCGAAAAATGGCCAAGTTAAGGGTAAAGTACATCGTTTAGAGCATGTGAATTTGGGATTGTGATAAACAAAATACAATAAAATTGTTAATGTTAATATGACTAATATAAAATGTTAACTTGAATCTGTGTATATGTTAAGTGAACCAACTTCATTTAATCAAGATTTAATTATTATTTATAGTCAGATAAGAATAGGTTACAAACATATGATGAATAGGATAAGACGTGTACACACATATACGCTCATATAAAAACAGTCAGGTTTGATAAGTAAATGATTAACAAGGTCAAAACGCGACTCAAGAATGGATAAACTGGCCTGTCCAGAAGCTAGAATAAGCTGTGTGGGCTTAACATAGCGACCAACATTACAATCTCTTCATTATACTTCATAACTTAAAAAAAATTATAATCATTCACAATGTCATTTTGAATTTTATGCTAACAGTTTGTTTTCAGTTCGAGATCGTCTTCTTATTACATTATCGAAATTCATCAAAGGGACTAATTTCTTTGAATTTGAAAGTACTTAATTTTCTCGCAAAGCAGAAATGCAATTTATAGTTCCAAACTTTTTTTGATAAATAGTTGACCAGTCATTATGTTAAGATCATTTCAACTCATTATAATTATCGATTAGGACTTTACAGATGATATTCAGAGTAGGGATTACTCTTCAAAGAAATAATTTTCAATCTAAAATTATTTAATTCTATTCTTAAGTAAATTGGATCAGTCAATAAACACAGTCATCTAATCAGGTAACATGTAATTATAGTGTGAATATATTGAAATAGTTAAAATTATAATCTATTATAGTTTATGATGATGCCGAATTTATTAAATTCAGTTGAAATTCATGAAGATGGTCAATTGAAGAGTGTAACCATTTCATCAGAAAAACTGGGATAAATGTATTAAGTATTTTTATGACACTGACATATATATGCATAATTTATAAAAATTATATGAGTGATTGAAATACTTAGAGTGAATTTGATGCATTACTACTCAAGTTCATTGTTCACTTGTTATATTGGCTTCTGTACGTTATTCAGTAGGGTTTTTTTACAATTATTGTGTAAAAGTTTCAGAAGTAAACTATTAATTAAGAGTTTTGATAAAAAGTCATATTAATATCACAAATTAGAGTAGTTAGAATAATATTCACATGTGATTGCTCCACCTAAGGCGAACGCGAGATATCCGACTATCAATGAAAGAACGAGTTTACTGGGCGGTAGTTCGTTCTGTTCTACTTTACGGCTGCGAAACGTGGCCATTAAGAGTAGAAGATATTCGCAAGTTACTAATATTTGGCCACAAATCCCTTAGAAATATTGCTCGCATCTGCTGGGATCACCGTGTAAGTAATAATGAGGTTAGACATAGGGTATTAGGAAATGATGGTAAATCAGTTGATGAGGTTGTGAATCTTCATCGACTGAGATGGTTAGGTCACGTGTTATGAATGCGTGAACACCGTTTATCACGACGTCTAGTGCTGACTAGTGTTGGAGATGGTTGGAATAAAGTTAGGGGCGGACAAACCAAAACGTGGCATCAGTGCTTGAGGACACTAACTTCTAGTCTGAACCATGTTGGTAGATGCTGGCTACTTGGTTGGGGTCCGTGTGACTATCGTAACCAATGGTTGGAGACTCTGGGTGACATGGCTCAAAATCTATCACAATGGCGTAGGTGCATGCACTCTTTGTCTTCCCTTAAACCGTCGGATTAAAATTACTTTATATCTTTCTTTTATGTATTACTACCATTGAATTAACTACTTCTATGAATTTGGTGTTCATCTTGTTGTGTTAATGAGATGTAGCAACTTGGACCGATGCATATATGTGGCTGGTCCTACGTTGTAGCTGACTGACTGACTGGTTTTAAGGTGAGAAATATGTTTTTTTCTTCTTCAAATTACCTTTATATTATTCTCTTTTCAGATTGGAATGAAAGTAATTTTTATCATTTCAATAAGAGCTCATTAGTTATTTGTTGAGATAAATTAAGAATAAAAATACCATTGTTCGCTTAATATATATCTATTGTAAAATAAATAAAATTTCGGTTACATGAATGATGTCTAACTTGGTCTATCAAATAAATATAACATACTATATTTTAACAATCATTTCATACATTGTTCCTAAGTGGACCGAGATCTGACTCCATTAGGATCGTATGATGATCACAAGTAGATCTTAACAAATATAACACTAAAATATTGTCGCTCTCAGTGATCGGTATTTAAATATATTTTTACTAATAACTAGAAGATTGCTCAAACTATGTTATGTTAGTCTCATCAGTAAAGAAAGATTAGAGTTTACTAGTGCATTGAACTGAATACTAAATATATATCAGTCAGGTTGTTAAGTAGTGATAAGTGATAATCATATCATTTTCCGAAGGAACTATGCAACATTGGATTGTGGATTACGAATTCAATCCCATGTAACTCAAAAATCATATGTTTATCCCAGTGTGGCGTTATAATTGCGAGTCAGATGTTTAACACATTCTAGTTTTCAATGGCTTGGCATTAAATTTCAGTACTCGAGTTTAGTTAGAGATATAAAAATCATTTTAGTTAACCACAATCTTTCTTACGGCACTGGAATATTACACACCATGTGTACTCTATATTTTCTTAAAAACATCATTGTTTACTCACAAACAAAACTGAACTTTGAGTATTTTATTTTCTCAATATTTTGTATTTAGGAGTTTGTTTACAGTGTGTGAAGTCAACAGTTAAAGATCTTATAAGAGAGGTAAATATTTGTTTTCTAAATTGTGTTTACTCATTAATGTTTACAGGTTGTACTCAGCTGATGAAAATCTCATACAATTTAATCGATGCAATTCATTCTGCGAATATTATTGTGATTCGATTATTGAAGTTGACTAAAAAAGCTGAATTTACAAAATAAGTTTGTCACGTATAAGTGATTATCTTGAACAATCATGTGATGGAGCATCTCATTTGATAAATAAAATTATGGAGAAAACAAAGGAAAAACTATATTCGAATTTTTCGTAATATCAATCCCAAAAAAAACACTCTCAACGAATAGATCATTGAATAAATATTCCAATAGAGAGACACTTGAGAAATATTGTGAAATTCTCCAGAAAAAAAATACACTAGAAGTTCTATCATTAGATGAATGGAAGTTGCAAAACTAACCTCATTCGTTGATGTTCGTATGATTAGTATACATGGCTGATTTGATGCATGCGGTGAATTCGGTATAAGAGTATGTTTCATTTTTGTATGAATAGTACTATGTAAATTATCTTTTGAAGATTCTGTCAAACTATTGGCACATCGACGATATAACGATCGTAAACTAAATCCATGCACAGAAGTACTGTAAGTTAATATCCAGTCTAAACCTTCAGCGTCAGGAGTTAAATTTTGTAAAAGCTAATTGAATAAAAATAAAATATAAATTATGTAATAATCTATGATAATACTGTAAATAAATATTTACAGTACAAAGAAATCAGCCAGTTCGATCAATTAATAAGCATAGAATGCTCAAAATATATAGAACTAAACTAAGCAAAATCCAAGGTAGCGATCATAGATTAATTCTAGATTTAAAAATGTATTACTTATTTGCATTAGTAGGAATACATTTTAAAAGAAGGTCCAAATGAAACGTGATTACTTATGATATATATATATATACAAAATATACATGAGTTATCATCCATAATAGTAAGCCAGAAAAACGGACGCAGCTATCTAAAACAAACAATCTGACTAACTTAACTAATCAGTTAATAAACTTAACTCCATACTTATCACTTATTATATTTCCAATATTTTAGCACGTAGTTCATTTTATCATATAATAATAACGTTTATTCAATTTATATTCTCTTCATTATAGACGAAGAATGTATTTGTAAAATCTCAGCGAAAGAATTTGAAGTAAATCCAACGTTTCGCCTGGCAATCTGGTCCAAGCTTTTTCAAGGAAAATATAATCAGCCAACAAAATTATCCGTTGGATTTACTTCAAATTCTTTCACTGAGATTTTACAAATACATTCTTCCTCTTTAATGTCTCATATTAACTCAACGCCAAAAAATATTGTGAAACTATTCGTTCAAATTTAGACAAAAGTCCTTATTTATATTCTGTTCTTTGAATACATCATTATTTCAAAAATCCCTTACAATTGTCAACGATATTTCAATATACTTTATAAATCAAATATTTTGTCGAATTTTTCAAAAATCTAAAGAATCACCAAACAAGCATCTTTCTAAAATAGTTTCAGTTCATGACATTTTAGTTCCATACATTTCTATTTTGTTATAACTTGTGAACCTGTGTACCCTGTATATTGGATAATGCAACGATGCCGCCAATCAGAGAGCAGCGAATTACTGATCGAACCAGTGACACATAAAACAAGTGCGAGCAGCCTAGAGTCCTGATTGGTCTCGCTTCCTGTCTAGCCCAGCCAGTTAAGTCCAGAACATCAATCTCAGCCTCTGCAATATGAATCATTTCTTTTAAATATACGGGGTTTAAAAGTAAGTAAAAGTGATTGGTTACCGATTAGTCTGATTTTGAGAATTGACTTATTGTTAAATTAATTTAGCTCAGTAATATCTCTGATTTCCCAGGGTATATTAACATACTTAGTTATTCAACTAATCATGTCATTGGGAATATTTCTGATTGAGATTCGGAGATAAAACCAGTGATAAAATTATTAATTCATTTACTTCAGTTGGTTTAGTATTTCGTTATATTGATTGGGTGATCAACGTGGATATTTATTGATTCATACTGGTTCTAATTAACAGGTAGAAGCAGATCTTATGAAACATAATCTTATATCATGGATTTTAACGTATGTCCAGAAGTTGGTCAAATTTTGTAAAATATGAAGAATCATCCTAATCAGTTTCGTGATTTAGGCTAAAATAAGTATTTCTGGTTGTAACTGAATAACGCTGAAAAAAATATGTTGAATAAGCGAATAGTGGGCAGCTCTGATGAACATCACATGAGATTGACTGATCTGATGAAAACTCGCAATGAGCTCTAATTCAACCAATATTGTTCCAGAAGACAGCCTTCACAAGAGATGGTGGAGAAGATTTGTAGCTCAGATGGATGATTTTGATAGATTTTTGTTCTCTGAGCTGAATTGTTTTGTCGTGGAGCTTTCATCGTTCTTCTGAACGACATCATTAGCACAAACTTCGAGAAGAAGTGAAGTGTTTGAATTTCTCTACATATAGCTCAAAGCTTGTCCTGTAGACCTCGATGCTGATTGGTTCTTCTTGACCTTAAACCTGTAACTGTTTACTTCTTTATTTTGGTTGTATCTCCTATTGGTTTGCTTTTGGTCCTATGTTTGTCCATAATGTTTTCTGATTGGTTGATAAAGTGGATCGATCTCAATGTGCTTGCTGAGTGACCTGGGTGCTAAGCTTCTAAAAATTCTCTGGCGTTTTTAGAATTGGCTCTATTCTAGATCTCCGCATTTTTCCAATCGAATGTGTGTCCATATTTGTCCACATGCATTAATATAAGTGAGGATATGTCATGCTGTTTGACCGCCAATTGATGTTAATGCAGGCAAAGATGAAAAGAAAGTCAAGTACATAAACAAACAAAAGGATCACCCTACTATATATAAAAGGCGTACCGGAAACTACAACGAGATTGTTAAAACCTTTCGGAAAAGATGTAGCACACAAACCAACAGGAGCACTACAATCAATCTTATGCAAACCAAAGGACGAAATGGCAAAATAAAAAGAACCGAACATCATCTACAAAATAAATTGTGCCAACTAGGAAAAACACTACATCGGTAAAAGCGGATGATGTCGCTCAGAAGAATGATGAAAGCTTCACAACCAAACCATCCAGCTCAGAGAACAAAACTACATCGAAAAATGCCTTCACAAGGTTTGTAAGCTTGTTTCGCTCTTTACTGATGAGTACTACTACTCAAACGTTTTGGTCCTTTCAATGAAAAAATTATGATTTTTTCCTAAATTTCTATTGATAATTCTCATGGAATAGGATGTCATTAAAGGGCTACTACATTAAGTTATTTGTCATGGAAACAAATTTAGTGTTTTTTTGAAAACGATAGTAGATTAGTTCAACCATATATTCAACTAGTGTATATTCCGACATCTACAGTCTGCAAAATATATTGTTCTGATAAAATGTTATGTATTTTCATAATGCACATCTTAAGATATGATATTACTCGTTAGGAAATCTCATTAAGTAAAATAAGGCTTGAAATGGAAACTAAATAATGATAAAGCATCATAATGAGACTACATGTAACCGATTTTCAACAATTCAACCATCATGTTTTAGCTACTTTTCTACAAAAATATGGATTACATCATTATTCTTAACCAACACTGTAACACTTAGAATTGAGTAAATAAACCTGTACATGGTAGATGAAATACAGTAATCACTTATTCTGTATGTACATATATTTACTTACATCACGAACTTTATGTACATCAAATATTTCACTGTTCGATGTTGCAGTAGGTATTGGCAATAATTCTGGTTCTGCCAATTTTATACAGTCAAACATGAATTGTTTTCTTTTTTCTTCTTCTAAGTCTTTCAATTCCAATTCTTTTGAACTAACCAACTTGTGTGTAACAAGAAATATACAGAGAAAAAACATTACAATGTTAGAAATGTGAAGCAATTAGCAATCTGATTGACAGAAAGATTTAAGTATAAAATCATTAAGTTCAAAACGCAAATTTCCTAGTGGTACACTACACTTATCAAACTGTATGATTTTGACTCAGTTAACTAAAAAAAAGTGAACAGTAATATTTGCGTGATCTGCAAAATATTGACTTGATTCTGTGTGAAACATTATAGATCCAAATTTCTCTTCTCAAATTTATTTCACTGGATTATACTCCTTGAATTACATCTTCAGACCCTAATGTTTCTGATTACTGCTTATACTCTTACTACCTCTACCACTAAGGGATTTGAATCGACAACTGCATCTCTGTGATAATGTGGTATGGCAACTCGAACTTATGTACGTACGTACGAATTTCTACGTTGTTACTGACTGACTGATTATAGATCCACAAGCTTGAAGAGTTTCAGACAAGGATAAACTAATTGCTTAATAATTTACAGTCTTTAACAGTTGAGCAGTTAGTGTTATTTTGAGTGAAAAATATTTTTGGATTGTATATAGTTCTCAACTCACTGGTTAAGTAACTAAAAAGAAACATTTTACCTTAATCTAAGTTACGGATTCAAATTTAATCATTGCATACGTAGAGAAGATTTGTAGCTCAGGTAGATGATTTTGATAGACTTTTGTTCTCTTAGCTAAATTTCTGGTAAAAGTCCTGAAGTTTGATGTTTGTGCTGAAGATGTCGTTCAGAACAATGAAACTCATCATAATATGTGTCAAAAAAACATTGAGTTAATTAACTATTACGTGAGCTCTACATTTCATTGTCGTTAATATCAACCTAAATATAAATATAAATGGTAAGATACAAGCCAAACAATACCAAGTGGATTTAAATTCACCCCATCGCACAAGCAAGTGGCTGTCAGGACCCAGTAGCTAAGTGGATAACGCGATGCCGTTTGAAGCGAATGGTACTGGATTCCAGTCCCAGAGTGAACATCAACTCTGAGATGCAGGTACATCCAGCTGACGAGTCCCAAATAGGACGAAACGCGCGTCCTGGATTCCACTACTGGCCAATATCCATCATTGCTTATAAATATAAATGATTGAAATCGATGAGACTAATGATTTCAGTGTTAGACAATATGTTTTAGGTTTCACACTTATGTAGCATTTGGATGTATATACAAATTGTTGACAGGAACTTAGTAAATAAAGTATGAATGATAATATCTTTTGTTTCATTATTTGTTTCATTTTCTGTTATATCCACGTTGTCAGTATGTCATAAAATTATTATCTAAAGTGAAACCCAAACAAGAGTAAGTAATAACCAGAAAAGATATAATCAAGAAAATGATTAGAGTTAAAAAATTGTATAGAAATAGGATGGTGAACATCAAATAACAATAGTGGAATTATGAAGACAAATAATGAAAAAGCAAACAAACTAAAAAACAGGGCTCAGTTGCATATTTATTGCAGTAAAACTAGTTTCTAATCTCTAGACGACTAAGTTTTCAATAATGCTAACAATACTATACATACATACGTCACATATCAATTCTAATTCCATCTATATTATAATTGGAAAATATAAATGAAATTGAGTCAATATATCTGAAAAACTCATTATAAGAAGTTATCATATAAGATATATTGATTAGTATTATGTTGTTTATGCAATATATATAAATCACACAGAAAATGATTAAAGCAATACAACTGAGGTAGACGTATGGGGATAACTATGAAACTATTATTCACTTATTGAACAGTATTTCCCTTAATAAATCGAATTTATGTATTTTATATTCAATGAGTTGAATGACTACTAGTCAATAAGATACCATGTTGCTTATTGTTAGTTATTCGGATACAAGTTATAAGTAATAAACAAATTAAGTTTATATAAAGTTTATTGATAATAATCAATCTGTTTAAAACAAACTGTTTTTTATAAGTGGTATCAGTAAAAGAAAATAGTATCCACAATTTTACTGGTCTCTTTTGTACACCTTAAAAACATAAATAACCTCGGCTTTGAAAAGAAAACACTTTACATGAACATCAAATTTCAGGGTGAAAGAGCTATAGACGTCCTAAAGAGGAGTATTTCTGAGTTTTTAAAAAGAATGTTCTTCGCAGCAACGTTGTGAATTGTGTTCTCCAGCTGATCAATGTTCATCAATAACCTTATGGATATGTTATCTCATCTCACCAACTCTATGTGCACCAACCAATTTATCTGCTCATATGGAGCCAGTTATTACAGGTCGTTCGATGCGTACTTTATCCATAAGAATTCAAGAACATTACCGGGATTGGCTGAAAAGAGGTGGAAACGGCTCATTAAAAAGGTCTATAATGGAACACTTTGTGAACACAAGTCATTAAACCAAGACAAACTCTGCGTTCAAAATCATCTACAAGGTAACTGGAAGGCTGCTAAAAGCAGTTATATTGCATCTTCTTAACATTGCCGAAGCATTAGCTAAACATCTGGGAAAACTAGAATTGTGTATCTAAAAGAAATTTGTACAACCTTATCTTCTATCATGATCTTAATGTCTGGTGATACACCTTCTTCTTTATACTTTTCTTTCTTTACAGCCGGTTGCTTCCCCCTCCGTCTTCTCCATCGATGTTTTACTCCCACTTGGCTTATTTCTTTTTCTTTGGTCCTCTCAATCACACTTCATCTCAATTTCAACATTTTATCACATCATGCTAAGCCATCCTTTCCAAATTATACTGTCTTTCTTTATCTTCATGGTGAATATTTAAGGCTTTATCAATAAACCTATTTATTAGTTTCCCAGGTTAAAAATATATTTTTATTACTTTGGTTTATTCTACCTCTTTGTTACCATGTTTAATAGAATTTAATAATCACTATTATTATCATCTTGAAAAATAGGCATGTATTTATGCGATTGTACTGCTTTGCAAATAAATTCACCGAAAAGAGAACTCATCATTGAACCAATCTTTCTTATGTTATAATGATCCTGATCACAAAAAAATACGTTAAATTAAAATAGCCTTTTTTATTACATAACTATCAATTTTCAATGAAAACTGAAAAAAAAGAATAGGCATTGAAATGTATATAACTTTTATCCAGAAGTTTCGTATCATCAACAAATGACAAACTAAACAGGAAAAAACAAAGTTTTCTTTTAAGAGTGTAAAAAAACAGAAATCATAATAAATCCAGAATTCAGTTAGTAATCACCACAAATTATTGTGTGTCAAAAATGATGATTTATTTAAAATGAATTGTGAATTAGTATTAGAAGGGGTTTTATGGAGATTGAAGTAATTTCAATAGTTGGGATTATGAGTCAATTGAAGCTAGACCACCATGGAAAATCTGGAAGCACTGGATGGTCGTTTCGTCCCGCGCGGCGAAGTCGTGGTTACACAATGCCGAGGAGTCCCACAATAGGACGAAACGGTTGTCCAGTGCTTTCAGGTTTGACATGGTGGTCTAGCTTTAATTGACTCATGATCTCAACTATTGAATTATTTAAACACAACTGAAAACTACCATGGAAACTAGAATGAATCTGTTTAAACATTCTAAGTGTTTTACTATAATATTTTGTCTTACCAATTTATTGATATTATTCAGAAGAGTACGAAATGGTGATGTTAACCACTAAACAAGGAATTAGTTAGTTTAAAAAAATTATATATAAATGACTTATATTGAATTGAATGCGAATCATCTTGTGATAAAAGAAAATTACTCAATTAAATGTATAGTTGAATGAAGTGTTCTATTTTTAAAGCTAACGATAAATGGTTTATTGAGTGAAATGACGAATGATTGAAAAAAATTATCATATAGTGAAATTCGGGATGTTGTGCAACGATCCAGTTGAAGTGTAGATCATGGGAATTTGACTCAGTATTCTCTAAATAGCTCACTGGTTATGAAGTCTGCAGCTCCCACGTTCGAAACTTTAGGGAATTAAGGATACACGCTGCTGCGAAGCCTTACACAAAATCCAAGAAATTGTCAATTGTTTTCATGTCTTCGGTGGTTCCTCATTCAATTCTGATCTTTGACGAAAAACAAATTCCGGAAAATCGAATTTTTTCATGATCAACACAGGAATACTCATTACTCAATATGGATATTGTATATCTAGTTAGAAATGAAAATATTAACTAAAAAACAACTATTAGTTTTCAGCTGTCATATCATGAAATAAAAATAATTAAAATGAAGTTTTAGAAACTAAAGAACTTACTTCCCAGTTGACAGTTTCACGTTTTAGTAGTTGCAATGCAGCTTTTTCTTCTTCCATAGAAGGTATACTATCACATATTTCTACCGTTTTGCTTATATCTGTTGTATCCGTAAGGGAAGAACTATTTGTTGACTGTTCTAAGTTCTGTGATCCTTTCAATTCATTTGACTGACAATTTTGCTGACCGTGTTCATTCTGATAACTAGATATTTTTGGTGTGTACTTTTGTTGATTTTTCAAAATTAATAATGTGCGAGAATGATCATCTGAAATACCGATACGCGGTAGGACCCAGTCGAATGTGTTTGGGACAACTACAAAATGACAATGATTATGATGTCGATGAGTATGTTTGTGATTATGATGACGATGGAGTGTCTTCTCAAATTTACCAACATCATCACTGCCACCATCATCCAAACAGAAACGTTCACTTGAAACTGGACTGACAATAGATGATTTGAAAAAATTTAAATTTCCTAATGATTTCGAATGAAGTTTGCTAGTGATTGTGTTGGTTTTATTCGTATCCTTGATTTCAGTACTTTTAATCGATAATTGACTGACCTCCATATCTGTGCCCTGTTTGACATCATCCTCGTATCCATGAAATTGACAAGTTAGAAGGAAGTCAAATAAAACTTTCGATCTGTTTTAAACATAAGTTTAAGAAAAAAAGGAAAGGAAGAAGTGTTCACAGCACAACTGCTAATGAAAAACTATCCAAATAATAAAAATCTATATTGATTACTTAACAGTTTCTGGCTTATCAGTCAATCAAGCTGATAAATAATCCAAAAGTAAATGGTACTGTTCAGCTGTTTTACCACAGAAGATAACAACAAATCATCTAAAAGTTTTATTGCATCATTTTGTTATATCTACTAAGTCAATTTCTAATTTACTTACTTACTTTCGCCTGTTACTCCTCGTGGAGGAGCATAGGCATGTTTGTCACAAAAATGATTTTTTTTTGAAGAAATTCATGTCCACTTAGATTAAGTTAGTTATACTAAGCCAATGATAAAAAGTAATTCAGATTTTATTCGTGTCTATTTCAATTAATAGCAATGTGTATTCACTATTAACCTAATAAAGTGTTTCTCTTTATCATTTATACAGAAGAATGAATTCACATATAAAATTAATGTATTACATGATGAAATAAATTAAGTAACATATTCAAACATATAATAACTTAGATGTAATGTTTTTATATTAAAGCTATCAATATAATACCCAATATTCATTTCATTCCTATTTAGAACTCGTTGATTAGATATACAAACATTCTAATATTTATATTTACACTAGTAGTCAACTTAGTATCTATAGCTTCAAACCGTAGTAAGTTATCAACCTGTAATAACGCAATTCATATAGTTACTACAGTGTCCAATGTGTATGATATTTTTTCTTCATAAAAGTTTGTGTTTTTCTCATTTTTCATATTCAGGACTAGAATTTGATTTTTTTTTCTTGGATGCAATCTCATTAGGCCAGGGAAGTCTTATTCACTACCCTCTCGCGACGGGGGTGTTGCTTACGAACTTCAGGGAACGAAAAGTGAATTTCTGATGCTTTAACTGGATTGTTGGGCATGGAGAATCTACCTAGGGGAGTTAAAAAACCCTGATTCTAAACCAGTGGTGCATATGGGATCCAGGATCCTATGGGAACAAATGGCATATTAGCCTATTGTGGGTTACCAACTACCATGGGACTGTATTTCCTTACATTGCTCCTCTGCCTTGTGGAACACGACTTTAGGTCAAATGCTCAGAGTGTGGCCTCTTGAGAAGACCACCTGCTTTGATTTGGGCTTTCGAGAGGTAACCCAGCCTTCACACAAATCGAATGATTTGTGTGGTGCAGATATATTTGGTGCCTTGTTGTACCAATGTTTGTGTGTTAAAATGAAATAAGTATCCAGATGAAAGGATATAAATGAAATGCAACATGAGACCGAGATTCAACTGCTAGCTACAGCTCAAAAATATAATAAATTCTGTAATTGAAATTAGTATAGAGTCATCTACTCAGCATTCATGACATACTAACGGAGACTAACAAAGATTTAGATCTGAATATCAAGAAACACGCCCTCTTACGAACAATTTGAAATATTTTCAGAATTGTTCAAAGTTTAGTTAAGGTTACAAAAAAATGTAGCAATTCACAACTAATTTACTTAAAGTTAGGAATTTAGAATGGAATTACAATCAAGTAACAACTCATAATTTATATTTGATTTCGTTTCGTAATAATCTAATCATTCAAAATATATAAGAAAGATTCCATACAGTTTCTTTTTTGGGATGGTGATTTGTGGCGATTGTAGTGATTTTGATGGTCAAATACATGAGTCGATGTAAGTTAAACCACTATTGAAAACCTGGAAGCAGTGTACGGCAGTTTCGTCCTATCATAGGACTCCTCAGTAAATTTAAAAAACAATGACAAAAATATTTTTCATTTCAATAAATAATGACATAATGTCAAATAAATTATGATTACTTTTCATTTGGTATTAAAAACCAATATTCTTCTGATTGAACTGTAAACCAATATGGATGTCTTCTATGTTTGTTATTTTCAACTGAATTAGTAGATGCTAATACACATAAATAAAATGGATTATCATCTAAACAAAAGGAAAAAAACGTAAATGAGAAAAAATTGTCATGCATAAATATATATGCATAGGAAATCTTACTAATATATTACTTATAACAGTATGATCATCTGCAAACAGAATACATGTAGTATACAGAATAACGATCAATTCAATTAATTGTGGATAGACAGCACATTTTAGTTGATGAATCATTTGCAGTCGCGATACTTTAAACTAGGAAGCAAGAACTCTTGTATCTTCAATGGACAAAAGCTAAGATGTTTATATTCACTAGGTTTATTTGAATCTTCCCATTGATTTTTAGGATTGGTACTAGGTTCGAGTCCCGGAGAGAACATCAAATATGGAACATACATACATCCAGCTGACGAGTCCCAAATAGAGTGAGACAAGCGTACTGGATTCTAATGCTAGCCGCCATCTATCTTTATTTATAAGATTTCTATGTTTTACTGAGTAAATAATACCATAGAATTGGAATGAGTTGGAATCCAATAATCGTTATTTATAACTTCACTTGAAAAGCGATTTGCTGAGCAGTGATCATACAGTGTTTCCAACTAGCATTCGGCTTAATTGATTCTAAGAACCATGGTTTTTCCACCAAAAGTAATACTGGTTTGGTTCTATAACAGCAAAGTTATTAAAGTCAACTTCTTACTTTAATAATATAAAGTGTTTAAAACATTCACCTGATAGTTTGATGGATGCGATACATCTTACTGTCGGCTTTAAATTTTAAAATTACTTAGTCAGGTCTTCTGATTATATTAAGCAACTCCGAAAATCAGAAATATCAATAAACTTACTTTTATTAAGCTATCATTTATGTGTAAAGAGACAATTTAACACATGAATAATATAAGAAGTAATTTGACCACACTCCTGAACAAAGTTGATCAATTTTTTTGATATCTTTGCTTCTTTTCTAGTAACTACAGTATTTAGCTTGAGGAAATTGAGTTAATGTTTTTGATTGAGAAAGGGCCGTAAAATCAATAGCATATCCGTTGATAAACAAGGGATTACTACTGTTCTGATTTAAAACTGGACTTTGAATTTGTTATTTTCCGATTGTTTATATTTTTTATGAGAGCCTTATAATGAGGTCTATGTAATTTAAGCATTTGCACAAGAAATTTTTTTACAGAAATTTGTGATACACAAAGTGGACAGTAGTTGATGAACTTATTATTTATTTTATTTGAACACATGAATATTGGTACAAGAGAGCGCCAATATATATGCGCCACACAAAACAGTGAGAATTCGAAGAGAAATAGAAAAAAAAAGCTAAGGTACAATCAGAAGAAATCTTTCAGGTAAGGGAGACACAACCACTTTTTATGAAGAAAGTAAAAGAAGGTTACAGCAGGATCGCCACTGGCTTCTATTCTGAGCCATATCTGATAACTGTTCCTAATTCGAACACACAAAACATAGAGTCAATAGATTTCATTCACAAGTCAAGTAGATAGATTGCATAGAAACCAATTCTGGCATTTATCAACTATAATAAGTTGTAATGTATCTTTCTGAAGAATCCCAACTAACGTAAAACCCATGTTCAGGGTCACCCTAACAACTACCGGCAACTACTCAACTTTATTAAAATAAATCCGTTAGAAAAATGACACGTGTGTATTTGAGATTTAAGTTACAAATAATATTCGAACGTAACACAAGAATTATGTGAAAAGTGGAATTGTTCAAGCATAAAATGTGTTACACGCTTCGTTTAATCTGAATCAAATTACAAAGCGAATAAGTTGCTTATAGAAACTTTAATTTCAGTTTGTTAACTCCAGCTTTTACTCAAAGATTCATCATCCAAACTATAATTTAAGTAGATTCCAAGTTAATGATTTAGTAAAAAAGCTATCAAGTGGAATAAAGTGAAACAGGAAAAATAGTATAAGAGTGTGCGATGAGTGTAAAATTTGCTTTACTAGGTGATCTTATTTAGACAACCATTGACAACCAGGGAGAAATGGATAGTTGTTTCGTCATCCTATGGAGTTCGTAAGCAATATCCACTAACGACCTCACTTAGAATCGAACCAATGACCATTGTTTTTTGATTAACAGGTCTAACTTAGTAATTCGTCAAATAGTGCAACCGTCTTACATTATCATCCACGTCGTACATTGTTGAGAAATCTCGTACTAGGACAAAACAGTTGTCCAATACCTCTTCGCTTATCACAGGGGTTTAATTAAGATTGGCCTTTAGTGTAAACTATGAAATGTACATTACCTGTAGTTCGTAAATGATCAGAATGTTCTTAAATTGAAGTAAAAAAACAAACAGGAAAATGTAATATCTTATCCAATTTTTTTTATAACCAGATGAATAGCAACATTTCGAATACTGAAAATTATGAATTCAGGAAAACTATTCTTGTTATTTTTAAATTGGCATTTTTAAAACTCGATAACAGTTAAATGTTTGTTCATAAACGTATGATCCAACTTATAAAACAAAGCAAAAACTGATAATCAAACATTTTTCATTACTTACAAGTATTATATTACAAATAAAATAAGTTTCTAATTGTATGGGAAAATGATATTTACCGTAGGGAATATCAGATTACTATCAAAAAGAGTGAGGAAATTGTAGAATGAAACAAATTTTAAATGTATAATCAAATCCTAGAATTTGAAGCCTGTGATCATGAAACAGAGAAAGTTAAATCAAATCAAATCAAATATCACTGAGTATATAGAGATTCGTATTTTTTATAACTTCAGATTATTATTTTTATGTTTCCGGTGGGAACTAAATCACTTTATGAAACACATTTCCATAACATGGATTAGTAACAAATGAAAGTAAAAATTCACTGAAACACTAAACAGAAAACATGGTAACTGTTTATTTGTAATAATTCTTTTCTCAAAGCCTACATTCTTTAAACAATAGACTGATTACATGTATGTTTAGAGAATATGCCTTTGTAGAGGTTAATTCTTCTATATCCGACGCCAATAAATGATATCCCGTTAACTGAGTATTTAGAGAGGCTAAATCTCCTAATAGTATTATGAATTTACTCGAGATTATTCAAAGACAAAAACAACAGTTTTAGGGATAGTGTATTGTTCATAATTGGTAAAATCCACAAGCGACGCAGAAAGTGAACACAGAGGAGAGTGAGTGTGAGAGCAAAGTAGAAAGAACCGGAGAAGGCAAGTCAGTTAACACGATTTAATTAAGTGCGAATAGATATTTATAATTAAAAAAAATTAAGCTACAGACACATGATGCATCGAGTAAGTAATTAACACACATATGATCGTATAAAAAACCGTCGGGGTTAATTAGGGAATAAGTGACAGGGTAAAAATGTGGCTTGAGAAGAATGAGTAGTTTGATTTGTTCAGAGGCTATAATAATTCATATGGGCTTGACACAGTACCAGCCTCTACATCACTTCATCTTGTTATGCATTAACATCATCACTTAGTTCATATTACACGACATCGAGTTATGTTTTTAAGTACTATTTAATCAGGTAAAATGCAAATTTATAGATTAAAATCATTATCAATAATTCATAACGAATCCCTACCTAAATCACATTTCTTCAAATTTGAAGCAGCCGAACTATTATTCATATCATCTGTTGTAATCACGTTTTCATTATCCTTTTGTTCAATATCATATTTTTCACTTGAATTCATTCCACATATATTTCCTTTAATTTCTATGGGATTTGACAACTTATCCATTGAATTATCATCATTTTTTGTAATTATTACACAAGGTGTTTGTTCGTTAGAATTTCTAATGTCACTAACATTATAATCAATATTCACGTTGCTAGGACATGAAGTAGGTTGCCTAAGATAAATATAAAAAAATGATAACATATTTCATACAGAATTAAGCTCACAGTAATTAAAAAAATTATGTCTCACAGAAACTACAAACGACAATGCATAGTTTTAAAACCGATATATTAAGTATAATCAATAAAATATTTGATAGCTCTGTAAAGTATAAATATATAGACTGTTGGTTATTAGGTTTGATGTTTTCTAAAAGACATGATAATATCATTGCATAGTTATTTATTTATTTAGGCAAGCCCTAACTTGGAATCCTGAAGGGAAGCGGAAAAGAGGAAGGCCAAATAACACATTGCGTCGGGAAATAGAAGCAGATATGAAAAGGATGGATAATGATTGGAAGGAGCGGGAAAGGATTACCCAGGACAGGGTTGGATGGAGAATGCTGGTGAGCGGCCTATGCTCCTTCACGAGGGGTAACAGGCGTAAGTAAGTGTGATATGAGTAACAGTAAAACACGCGAATAATAATTATACATCGACTGGAATCTTATTGAGCGAATAAAATGTATTCTTATTATTGACAATATGTTTTAACATAGACATAGATTAATGACAAGGTGTATATTTACCGTGTTTGTAGTTATTTCATTAAGGCCTTTGTTTATATCTATTATAATGGAAACTGTTTATCCAGTCGAATTTTTTATAACTGGTTTACGTTTTATTGAAGTTTTAGCTACAGGAAATATATCAAAATACTTATATTCAGTGTTATTTCACATTTGATCAATCTAGAAACGTTTGTCTCTTTGTTAAAATTAACTCCATCAGCTCAAATGTTACCAGAAGATGTGAGATTTTTAAAGATCTGTATAAAAAACTGGTGTACAGAAATTACAAAAGGCATATTATGGATAGGGATCAGATATCGAATCATATTGCATTAGTCTGAAAGATAAATAGATAGAACTGCAACTTATTGCATAAGCAGGAGGTCGTTAATGCCTTGATTTTAAATTGTGCGTAAAAAGACATTGTAGTTCCTTTGACAGCATCATGTCGATAGTATTATTTCCAGAAGAGGTTTTGTGGAGATTTTAGTAATCCTATAGTTGAATTCACGAATCAATTGAAGCTAGACCACCATAAAAAACCCGGAATCACTGGACAGCCGTTTCGTCCTAGTATAAAACTCCTCAGCAGTGCGCACCCATGATCCCGCCCGCGAGATTCGAACCCAGAACTTATTAGTCTCGCGCGCAAACGCTTAACCAATAGACTACTGGGTCGGCATCCAACAGCGTTAATGTCTAACTTAAACCAATCCACGAAATTGAAGCCACCGTTGTGTTTTACATGAACGATTAATGACCCTGACAGAGTAGAATTATTTCAAGAAATCAAAATGTTTACAATTTACAATGAATTTTCCCTTTATTATCTTAAAGAGAGCAAGAACGATGAATAGGATTAAGTTTACTTCAGTAGCGCAGATGTATGAAAATGGAAAATCTTATATATCAAAACGGAATTACGTTGTACAATTCTTATCAGTTGATGTCAGTCTCTTCTCAGAATCACCACAAAATTATAATCATCAAAATATTCAGCATAGTTACAGTTGTTTAATTAAATTTAAAACCCTTTTATTTTAATTCAAAACCTTCAGAAAGTAATTTGTATCGAATACATTCGTACTAATTATCTTCTGGGACAATAATTAAATTAATGAGACAATTTAATTATATTCAGAAATAAATTTTTAAAAAAAATTGAAAAACGATGTAAAATTGAAAAGCTTGGAGACAATTATAATTTTCCTATTTCTCTTTCTTAATTTCGTTCTAATTAAAAAACCAAGGAAAAATTTTCAAAAATGATCCTCTACACCCCCCAATTTTTTCTTCCTTTCAATTTTTACTTGGTGCATCAGAATATTAATTAGTTTTGAGTATTCATTCATTTATATTGATTAATTAGTGTAACTAAGAAAACAAGCCGAAAATAGGGAAGTATATCATCGAATTAATGAAACGTATTTATTGGGTATGCGCTTAATAAGTTAAAATATATTACTTATTACAAAAGAAATATATACTTTTAAGTAGATGAATGAAGTTATTGTCAGAAAAGAATGATGTAGAGATGTATCATTAAAAATAATCGTATACTTTATTTATATTTATAAGAAATGCTAAAAATAAGTTCAAGGAGAATTAAGTGTATACACTTGTGGAGCTTCGGTGAAATAAATGTTCGAGAAGTCATAAAACCATATATAATAGGGTTGTAACTCATTTATATGAAAAATTAGTAAAACATTTAACAGTAATCAATGTTATATTTATCTGGATCTTATTTCTACGCTGATTTCATAAACCAAGTTCTAATGTGTTTACTAGTTTAAGTAAATCGGGAATTGTTGGAATATGTTTAAACAATAAGGCGATTGGATGCAATAGGTTTTGAAGCCTTGAATTGAGATATTTTCCTAGTTGTGCTACTCGTCAGTGAGGTATAAATAGTAACTAGATAAAGATAATGCTCCATGTATGATTTAAAGCATGTACAAAGCAACATTTTTGTTGAGGTATAATGAATAGCAGCAGCGCTACATCACAGATAACTGAAGTTAAGAAATACAATTAGTGAATTTTATTAAATAATCATTGCAAATCTTAAACCTACTGCTTCTTGGTGAGAAGGTTTGGAAAAATAATGAGGCAGTTTTTAGTAATAACATAGGGATTCAACACAAATGGATAGTACGTTTTTTTCACTATTGTGCAAACTTACGCTCCACGTTTTGTAAAATACATAACAGATGGATCCCTGTAAACTGCAATCGTACGAAATTGACTCAATGGAATTTGTTTACAATGATTTTCCAGTGGATATTGTTCTTCGTCGTATGGTTTAAACACAAACATATTTGTGGTTACCAAAATTATTCCAGGAACAGAACACTAGTAGAGGATATAAGAAAAGAAATATGTAAAAAGAGAAATCAATTAAAACATTGGGCAGAAGAAAACATCACTTTAATTAATGAAGTTCTTGTAGTTTTACGTCTAAGAACAAAACGATCTTAACTATTTTAAACCAGAAGTTATGGAAGGCAAGAAAAAATTTGGCTATTTGGTTATTAAAAAAAATAATTAGTATAATAATTTTAATAGTTTTTTAGGTAGTTACTATAGTAATAAAATGAACGAAATGAGTTGTTGTGAGAAATGGGAATTAAAGAAGAATAATAAATGAATTTGATGTAAAAGTTAAGGGTTATTATCCATGAATAAACGAAAGAAACAAAGCAGATGACAGTATAGTCTAAATTTCGTTGATATAATTCAGTTAGCAATACCTTACTAAAGTCATATCTGTTGAACAATATATTCGTTGAGATTTAAAGACAATGTTAGTACAAATGGATTGTGGTTAGTAGTAGAATAGGAAATGCGCGTTTCACCTTGTTTGAGGACTGCTGAATGGATGTATCTGCATTCCACGTTAATCTTCATATGTTTATTAATATTGATTGAAAGTTGGATGATTTAAATACTAAGTAACTTCTACTTATAAGTAGATAAAATATATGAATGTCACAACAACATAATGTTACCAGCTATTTTTCACTAAATTGAAACTAAAACTGATTAGTCTATTGGAAAAAGAAAATAGATATAAACATGTGCTTCACAGAAGGCTGTTGCACACTGACTTATAAAAAAACAATTGGAGAGATGGTACAAAATATGCAGCATAAGCGGAGCTGATATCACAAAATCCTGAGAAATTTCATATACTCACTAATTGAGAAGTGAAATACCAACCGAGATATACGTAGGCATGTTATATTTGTACAGAGAAAATACTTTGATCATTGGGGTAAAATTATCTGTATCAACAACTCGAAATATGAATAATTTGAAAAGTTATATTAGTACTGATACACTTCTTACTTATTTTTGATACAGCCCTTAAATGATTACCCTTATTTCTCACGTTTTACCATGCTGATCGCTCAACCACAGAATCTGATCTTAAAATTCACATCAGTCCATTTTATTCAAATAATTTATAACACGACCATAGTAAAATGTCACTGATAGGCTTCTAATGAAATACGAATTCGACGAAAAATCTTCAGAGAGATCAGAATTAATTGTATAAATCTGATACTGAAAAACATACATCCATTTTATGTTAGAAATCAAGTAATTTTAAAGTCTTATTTGGTTATGACTGGTGAAAACTGACAAGAAGAGTTCAGCTGGAATAAAATGTAAGTGTGAATCCATTGAACCTAATCCATTTAGAATCCAATTTACACTAATGACTACTATTACGCCAAATATATCTCGTTGAATGACATCAGCAAAGTGATAATTGTATTATGCAAATAAGTGTTCTTATCCGTATTATGGTATTTGTGCACTGTCTAATGATTAAAAAAAGAATTCACAATGGGATTAGATATTCTTATTATAATCTAAGTTGGTCAAAGGTGCCACGGTCTTAATATTATTCTAGTTTGACTGAAATGCCAGCGTAATTATTAATATAATTATTTGAGTAGATAATTTCAAATAATTTGAGTATTTTCAATAGTTGAGATCATGAGTCAATTGAAGATAGACCACCATAAAAAACCCGAAATCACTGAACGGCCGTTTCGTCCTAGTATGGCTCTCCTCAGCAGTGCGCATCCATGATCCCGCCACGCGAGATTCAAACCCGGGACCTATCAGTCTCGCGCGCGGACGCTTAACCTCTGGACCGCTGAGCTGGCTGGTATCCAATGGTGTTAATGTCTAACTTCAACTAATTCACGAAATCGAGCGACATGTCAACCATTGTTTTCAATGAGTTACTATCACACAACAGATCTGGATGAACTCCACTGGTCAATGCTTCTGTTATTAAGTAAAATAATTATAATGTAATAATAGCAGTAAATAAATAAATGATTTGATTAACGTCAGAAATTCGACTTTTCGCAAATACTATTTTATTTTCCTACTGTGTACAAATCAATTATGCATTTTTACTTACTTGCAAATCGACAACGAATTTACAGTCAAACTTTAGATATTGACATGCCATTGGATCATTTTCTTCTTCTGCATAATCCTTCAGATAAAAGTATAAATGAACATGAAAATAGTATTATATAAGTTAATATTATAGAAATAATTTGATCCGATTGATGTAATTTACAATGACTAAATTTTCGTTAATGAAACACCAGTGATAATGAGCTAAGCCACCAGAGATCGAGCTTAATTATTACTGAATAATTAGTAAATAACCAAATAATACCAATGGGAATACATCGTGAGATTAGAGAAAAAAAAACGAAACCAATCAGCAGAAAAGTCGTATTGTGAATTAAATTCAACTAAACAACAATGTAAAACTGAGGAGCACTGAAACTTTTATGATCAGTTATTTGACTGCTTCCTAATTTTCACTGTTAGTCGATCTGACATTAATCTGTGCAGCATGATTTCATCAAATATTACGAATTCCACAAACTGTTCATTCCAACAAAAAACTTGCTCAATGCTATCAGAAACACGTAAGTATCAAGAATAGTTGTCATTATGGTAAAATTAAAAAGTAACAGGTGATAAATTTCAAATCTCTTCATTAGTTGTAAAGTAACTCGGGAAACAAGATTGAAAATACTAATCATAGTACTGTAAGTAATCTTAAGTGAATACTATTTAAGAGTATTAGAGATGGATGACATAATTAATTAGTATATTTGACGTTTTCATACATTTTTCACTGTTTATCGATTCATGATGAAATGTACTTGTAACTAATCAAGTAATTTGATATGAATAAAATGGATTACTTTCTTTTATAAATAGGTTCAACTATGTAGATACACCCTAAAGCATATTGAGTAAATAATGGTTATATTAACTTTTAAATTCTATTATCATGCACATAGATACAAAGTTTTTTTTTTGATTATCATGACCTCAGATTTACCTTAACTGTCATTTCTCATTGAATAATATCCATAATGAGAAAACACAAAAAAAAAAAATAAGCAATAAACAATAGAGAAGCGTGACAAATTGAAAATAGTGGTAAATTTATAATATGAAAACAAATCAGAAAAAATGCCTAATTCAATAAAGCTTTATACATGATAGATTAAAAGAAAGAAATTAAGAAATATGTAAATAACTTAGTTAATTATCCATGTATTCATATTAGAAAAAGGAATAATAATAGTTCAAAGGATAAAATTCAATGAAAAGACAGAAAATATAGTCACGCAATTCGATATACTAAGTACATTATCATTATGAATGTCTATTTGAAAAAGAATCGTTTATTAATCACCACCTTTAGATCAATGATTTATATTGTGAACATACAAATAATTATTCAAAGGAAAGATGTTATACAACTTATAGCAATTAAGATAGTACTGTAGCGAACGACATCACAAGTGGGGACAACCAAGTGAACCAATGGAACACTTCGTTTGCAAAATATCCATTCATTGTTTCAGATTTTCATGTTTCTTCATTTCCATACCAATCACTCTCTGTTATTGTTCACTTTGTCGTGATCTTCTCAACCTTCTGACTCCAGAAATTCCACAATCGATTGGTGATAAATACTACTTATATCTGTCGACATCAGTAACACACACATACAGTACTATCTAGTGAACTGGTGAAAAGATTGAGTTTGAAATCTATCATAACTTTTAATTACGCGTTATTTCGAACTTAGGTTTTGTAGAGCAAATTATTATTGAGAAAAAAGATTGTATGACGAAGGAATGATGTTATAAATAACTTGGAACGGTTAAAATGTTAAGTGCTTAGAGTATCATTTTCAAATCTAAAAAGTGTCAACATAAATATTACTATATGTACTTATCCACTTTATAAGATGTAAAAGTGTCAATGAAGACTAATTTAGCCGTTTAATCATGTAATCCGAAGTAATAATAATATATGGAAGATCATTAAAAGAAGCATGGTACACTATTATGACAATAAGTTTTCATTTTATAAAACTATATACTGTAGTATCGGTTGATACGTTAAGCCCACACAGCTTATTCTAGCTTCTGGACAGGCCAATTTATCCATTCTTGAGTCGCGTTTTGACCTTGTTAATCATTTACTTATCAACCCTGACTGTTTTTATATGAGCGTATATGTGTGTACACGTCTTATCCTATTCATCACATATCTGTAGCTTATTTTTGTGACTATAATTGCTGATTGATTAAATGGAGTTTGCTCATACGCCTCCTCCGCCATGCGTCATTTCGCTCCGCTCTCTTCTCTTTGCTTCTCCGATATTTTGTCTGGATCAACGATTGTATGAAATGCAGTATATTGCAAACTCATTCTCGTATTTGGTTATTCATTAACGCGATCTAAGTCAATATTTATATATGAGAATAATCAGAATGTATGTTATGAATAACCGTCATTCATACGATATTATGGGAGTCAGATTTCGGGCCATTAAAATACAGTTAGAATAATTTAGATTTTTAACGAACATTGTCAAATGTCTTAATCTTATACTAAAAAAGTAAGAAAATTATCAATCAGATGAAACGATAACAATTAGATAAATTCATTGCATAGAAAAAAAATTAAGATGGCGGTGAAGATTTGTAACTGAGGTGGATAATGTAAAGGTGAATAAAATCGAGATTACAAATACATTTATCTTAATTTTAAAGAAAAATGAACAAATTTAACTTACCATTGATTTAGCTAAGTCATATATCATTAGAATATTGCGTATAATGATTAGTAATTATGAAGTTTGAGAAGGAACTGGATAATTACTTTTAGACTTATTGAGAAGTTATAATTAAAGTAAATAATAGTATAATGCTTTTCCTAACACGATATGATTGCATAATATTGAACAAACATTGTGATTTCTTGAAGGTCTCATTACTTATTTTCCTTATCAGTCTGGATATCTTATTTATTCTACACTAGTTAAATTATTCGCGTAAGATAATAAGGTTTATTATTTTATGGGATTTATAATAAAAGGTGTCTATATATTCTAATGAATGAAACTATACAATATGGATGACATAACACACAAAGTTTATATCACTTATTATTCAAGAAGTATATCAATACAAAAAATTTATAATTACAAAAGTATTGGGATTTAAGTGAATGCAGTGGGTTTATTATGTAGCTCTATCGAGTTTTATAAGGTATATAAATCGTAATTATACTATTAAAGTAAACCATTTTATCTACAAAAGCCTATTTATTCAAGATAGAATCAGTATAATTTCTAATCATTCAAAAATGCTCAAATGGAGGATTTTTAATTATTTTCATATTTCTATGAGGAATTCCTACAGGGTCAATAAAATGACTTTTTGAGAATACTGTCTGAGAATGACATTGAAAAAAACGTCTGATGTTTTGCAGTAATTCATAACCAAAAAGAAGAGTAATTCCAGTGATTAGTAATGACGATTGACCTTAATTTGGTCAGGGAAAATAAATGTATCATGTAGGTTTGCTCTCATGTGATCTTTTTCACTATATTTAGCTAAAAAAAACACCTTTGACCAACCAAACTGGTTTGATTTGTTATTGGGTTAAATGATTCGATAAAGTTAATCCGGTGAGTTACGAGATTTGGATTAATATTGTAGTGCCTTACATCACGGATGAAACTCTGCTGATGAACAAACAAAATCATGTAACCCTAAATAGTTGTTTCACTGTAGTTTGAGACTTTTCAGTGATGCAAACATGCAGCTCCACAAAATCGACTTTAGGAAATTCACATAATTCGTTGCTACAACTCGTTTTAGACAATTTCTCACTTGACGTCAAGCTATGATGAAGGCTATTCTATGGTTCAATATTACTTACAATACGTTTATACTAACAAATAATAAACTTGTATACGAGACCGCAAATATGCTGAATCATACATACAAATTATATCCATATTCAATAAATCCTACCTTCTTAAAATAACTCGGACATAACAAATTCAGTAGAAACCTTTAATGAATGAATATCCGGCATGGCTAAGAAGAGGCAACGGCTCAATAAGAAGTTCAATAATCGAATACCTTGTGAAAACAGGTCACTCAATCAAGACAGACTCTGCGTTCAAAGTCATCTACAAGGTAAGTAGAAGCCTTCCTAAGACAATCAGACTGCATCTTCTTTGCATTGCCGAAGCAACAGCCCTACATCTGGAAAAACCAGAATTGTGTGTCCATAAGAGACTGGTACAACCTCTTCTTCTACCATGGTCTTAATGTCTTATAATTTTCTTTTCTTTTTTCTTTCTTCATACTCTTCTTCTTTTACATCCATCTGCTTCACCTTTCATCTTCCTCTTAAATCCTCTACCCCCAACTAGTTTTTTTGTTTCTACGATCATTCTGATTACATTTAATCTCAATTTCAACATTTTATCTTATCATGCTGAGCCATCCTTTCTCAATGATAATTTCACTATCCACCTTTTGATGAAAACCTAAGCCATTAACAATCAAACGACTATTAAACTTTCTTTGTTTTAAAAAATCTCTTGACACCTTTGTCTATTTAACCTCACTGTCACAATGTCTAACAGAAGTTTGTTATCAGTATTATTATCATCCCGTTCTGTTTTAATTTACGGCAGCGAAACATGGCCATTAAGAGTAGAAGATACTCGTAAGCTACTAATATTTGACCACAGATGCCTTAGAAATATTGCTGGCGTCTGCTGGGATCACCGGGTAAGTAATAGTGAGGTTAGACGCAGGGTATTAGGTAATGATGGTAAATCAGTTGATGAAGTTGTGAATCTGCATCGACTGATAAGGTTAGGACACGTGTTACGTATGCCTGGACACCGGTTACCACGACGCGCAATGCTGACTAGTGTAAGGGATGTTTGGAAGAAAGTTAGGGGTAGCAAAACCAAAACGAGTCATCAGTGCTTGAAGTCACTAACTTCTAGCCTAAGCCATGTTGGTAGATACAGACTACTTGGTTGGGGTCCGCGTGACTATCGTAACGAATGGTTGGAGACTCTTGGTGACATGGCTCAGAATCGATCACAATGGCGTCGGCGTAAACCCTCTTTGTCTTCCCTTAAACTGTGAAATTAAAATCGCTTCATATCTTCCTTTCTACGAACTAATTTTTTCTTCGTGTACTATGTCCTTATATGCAATCTTTCTTTCATATATCACCACCTCTGAATTAACTACTTTTATGAATCCGGTGTTCATCTTGTTGTGGTAATGGGGTATGGCAACCTGGACCGATGCATATATGTGCCTGGTCCTACGTTGTAGCTGACTGACTGTAAAAAATAAGTATTTATATTTTCGATTGTACTGCTTTGAAAATGAGTTCGCCGAAAAGAGAACTCTTCGCTGAATTAATCTTTCTTATTTAATGAAAAGACTTAATCTTCATAGGGAACACAGAAATTCTTGACGACATTTTGTTTTAAAAAATGAGAACATAGACCAGATCAGTATATGTAGAATGGTTACCCAGAACGGTTCATAGAAAAGAATATGAATAAAAGTAGTCGCGAGAAGAATTCTAGTTGTTTCGTTCCAAAGAAAAACCTTTATATAAGTCTGGAATTTAAAGGTGACCGAACATCGGACGTAATCAAAAACCGTCTAACAACAACTATTAGAAGAACATTTAACGCGGCAAAACTGCGAATATCCTTCACTAGTAGAAACTTATTTTCTGTATCCATAAAAGATAAGCTTCCGCGTCTGGTCGCCTCCATGTGCATCTACCAGTTCACCTTCTCTTGTGGAGCAAGGTACATTGGCCGTAGCCAGCGCTCGCTTTCAACTCGGATACAAGAACATATCCCAACCTGGTTCTATAAGGGTGAAAGGAAAGCAGTTAGGAGTTCTATACTTGAACACCTAATCGACTATAACCATTCAACAGATCCACAAATTGACTTTAAGGTTGTTTATATGATTCGTTCAAATCTACCCAGATTTCTTCGTATCCAACTTTTAAAAATAGCCAAAGCTCTTGCCATCCAGGAGCTTAAACCAGAACTATGCGTACAAAAGAAGTACGTCTTATCGTTATCGTTACCTTGGCCTTAATTAGTTTGATTATCCTACCATTAATGTTATTATTATTATTACTGCATTCCCCCTTTACTTATGTCTTATATTCTCATTGTTTTATTCATGAACTCTCATCATATCAGTTTATTTTTGTACACCTCTATGACCTTTAATTATTATAACAAAAAACATTTCCTCACGAAATTAGTACATTTACAAAAACAAAAAAGTTTCATATTTATACGATTGTACAGCTTGGTAATAAATCAGTTGAAAAGAGATCCCTTCGCTGAAATTCGTGTTTTAATTTTAATGTTTAAATGGGAAATATCTGTCAATTATGTAGAATAGCTTTAAAATATGAAAAAAAATCTTTACACACATTACTAAAACTCCATAAAGTTGTCACTATCTTTGAACGCTTTTAATTTATTATCAAACGAATATATAAAATCAAACTGATAGATGATAGATATATAAAACTCGTATGACATACTGTATATTCACTGTATGTAGAAGATTCATCCAAATCTTGTTCATCAGTATCTGTTTCATTGACTGATGATGTTAATGAATCGACTGATTGTAAAAGTTTTGATTTAATCTCTTCTTCAATAAGGCATACTTTAGGATCAAGAGGATTTTTTATTACATTTTCAGTTGTTATTTGTTCATTTTCTTCAATATTTAAATGATTATCTATTTTTGTTTTTCAAAAATTAAAGAAAACAATAAATATGTTTTACTAGTACAATCAATATAAAATAGGGAACATGTTTCTTTTTCAACTGATGAAGACAGATAATGCTATTTTTTTTGTTTTAATTGCCTGATATAATTAGCCAATATATTTACATCTTAATGCATTATTTTTATTGATACATTAAAACAAACGATACAGTTAAATGCTACTATTTTTAAATCCTTCATAATAATAATAATAATAATAAAAATAATAATAAAAGCCCACTCATAGTTACCAGAATAAGGATTAATACATGAGTTAAATCATATCGATATAAGAGGATAAAATGAAGAAAAATGTTAAACGCCTCAATAAGAGTAATATTAGAGTTAATGAAATAGAACCGAAAAACAACAATGGTTTAAAAAAGATGAGATTTATTAAAGAAATAAAAATTTACAAAATAACTTTAAAGATCAAATGATGAATGCATCTACTATGATGTAACTAATTTTCGATCATGTTAATTAAGGTCTATGACTGTTTATCAAGATTTTCATAATGAATCCTCATTTAGAATGATATATCTCCTAATCTACCTAAAACAACCTATGTTGAAAAATTACTGGTCACACAACTGTGAATTAAAAATGAGCATGTCAAATAATGAAGAATAAGATGATATAGAAAAACGTATAGCAAATAATGAATTATAGTTGTATTCAAAGATCTTTAACCAATTTACTTGATTATATGCTGATTATTGGTTTGAAATGGTGGTCTAACATATATCGATTGATGATTTTAATCAAAGCGCAACAATCTCCTTAACCTTATACTGATTTGAAATGATCTATGTATTATACAAATAACTTTTATCATTAACATGTATCCATCATTCAAATCAAATCATGAAGTCAGTGTACATCTTAAGGATCTGAATAATCACTGGTTTTGTAGTTAAATTATATTTTCAAGTTGATGTACTGATAAGAAATATTCTTTTAATTTCATACATACAGAGTTCCATTTACGATTGATTGATCACTGTGTGGTGATCAATCAATTGTGATTACATCTCAGTCCTATAGGAGGTCGGTCGTGGCTCGGATAGCTCAGTGGTAACGTCTCTGACTGTGAAGTGGGGATGATACGGGATCGAATCCGTCAGGGAGCACCAGTTCCCTAGAGACTACAGGTACACCTTGCTGACGAGTGCCAAGTAGCACGAAAACCGGATTCAAGGTTTCCTGTTGACTACCTCCAACCACCATTCTAGAGTTCCCTTTATTGATCTGAAGATCTGAAAATTGGAGATTTCAGTAGAATAACTTAAATTCATATAATTCCACTTGGTTCTTATCAGCTGCTTGTAGCTTGTATTATTTTAAAATTAAAATTGTCTGCTTAGTAATACAAATGAAAATGATTGGGTGTTATTATATATTATCATGGTAGAGTAAATATCCCAAGTAAAGTTAATAAGACCGGGAAAATGTATAACAAACTAATGTCGTTTGTAAAAGAAGATTTATGAATATAAAAAAACAGTTTAGAAGAGGACCAAACAGCTAAAAATTAGTCGCCTACGTATTGAAATAACAGAACGGAGGTTCATGATAATTATCAATAATATGAGATGAAACAAGTTAGTCAAACAAAAAGAATTAATTAAAACGAACTCATCGATATGTTGGGCAGTAATTTTTCATCAGATTTCACATATATATATAAATGGACTTTTTTAAAAAATACTAATCAATCACTTACTATCGCTTTTTACACTAGATGCAACAGATTTACTGGATGATTCAGCGGTCATATTTTCTAGTTTTTCATTGATAGGAAGTTTGATCACTTGACCAACAAATAATGTTCGAGACAAGAGTTTATTGATACGACATAATTCTGAAGGAGTTAGATCGAATCGAGCTGCTACACTATTGAATGAATCACTTTCTTGTACCTATGAAAAAATGTCAAACAAAATCCGTTACTAGAGAAACGATTATTTACTGAAAGCACGAAAATGTTTGTATTATATCAAAATTAATACAAACAATTGTTATACACCATTTTCCCTAAATTTATACCACAAAGATTTTTTTTTTCTATCAGACAATGAATGCAAAAGTTCTAATATGTTAGTCACTCGTTTTCTTTAAGGATATATTAGAACTAAAAAATATGCTATGAGATTTTCAGTATTTAGGGTAACGATAGTTTGTAACTCCTCTATAATACCGCGTAAGTACAAATATGTTTAAAATTGATAATTACTCTGTTCAAACAAACCTGACACAAAGATGTTTGGTACAATATTCGCATAGTTGGAAAACAGATGACTCAAATATTTGAACAGGCACTCAAAGAATATAATTGCTCGAGTTAAATGTTAGACCATACTAAACATTCTATGTACTTATTTCACTCTGGAGAAATCGTATCCTATCCTTTTAAACTTAAGTTTACAACTATTTAACTAGTGGAGAGGAAGAAAACTTCTATACAGTCAATCTCATTATGACAAAATCTACTTACATAAATTGCTCAATACCGGATTTATGTAGGCGGCTATTGGTGAAAACTACTATTCTATCTCTACTGAACGTTTTTCTATAACAGTGAATGCCGGTGGGTGGTCTGTACTCGTCCATGAGAGTTAAGAGGCGTTAGTAAGTAAGTTATTTCTTCTATAACATAACATCTGGATATCTACTATCGCTAAACATATGTTTAGAGATTAACATGGGATATAAACTAAACTTATTCTTCAAAATTATTTCATAAATTATTTACTTTATCTAAATACAATAATAGGTATTCATAACAAAATAATTTATAGTTCATTTGAAGCCTTCAATTGAACTAAACTGATATTTAAAACAGAATTCATAATAAGATGTAATTGGCTCAATAAATAAAAAATTAAGAAATAATTTGGATTCAGTATCTCATTTCATTAATCTCAGCGTAATCAATAAATGGTTGACCATTTCTTTCTATTAATTTGATGTGAGTTTCTTGTATGTTTCTTTTGATTTTAGCCTGTTTTTTCCCTCTCACAAGTATCACATGTATTTCTCAATGCCAAGGTTGAAATTGATAATTTTAAATAAATTAAGCATTAATTAGAGAGTTAATAAAAAATAAAGTTAATTCGATTCGGTTATTTATTTACTCTGAAGAAACTGCTTACATTAAGTCACGAAACTTCAGAAATAAAAATTTTCTACTTATTGGGACATAACAAAAAAATATGTTTATTGTTACGTGTATTGTTTTACACAGTTCAGTATTTATATGACAGGTAGAAATCGTTTTGGGACCTTCATTTAGATTTCTTGGTTAAGGACTCACTTGATCGGATAATTATATATATAAATGACAGTTTTAATTTCAAAGAGAGTAAGAGCAAAGATTTAAATAAATTTAAGCTTAAATCTTTGTTCTTCCCTTCTTCAATAAAGTAAATGGAATTACATAAGTTTTAATTGCTTTATTTGTCCAAACAGCTAGTTAATAGTTCTGTTCTTTGAAGTTAATTCAATTTGGCTTCGAGTGATGGTTCTATAAACCAATTATTACTATACATGCCATAGTGGTTTCATTATTTCATTTGACAGGTTTGGCCATTACAACAGACGTCATCCATGAAATGTAGAAAAATTTAATTTACATCCTACAATGTACGTTCATTTAAAAGGTGAATGATTATGTATCCAAAGCATGCAGATCGATTAGAATACACTAGGGATTGGTTGTGTTAATGGTTTGAAAACTACGATGTTTCACCTGAGATAGAGACAACTGATCATTATTTCGTAAATTAGGAGGGTTTTTATTGAGAATCTTTTATAAAGTACATAGAGACTTTAGAAATTGTCATTCAGAAGTTAAGTCTAGTCAATGGTCATTTTCAAATTGAATTGATTTAGAAATTGTGATGGATTAATTTAATAAATATTTGTTGTGGACTGAAATATTTTTTGAAGAGTTTGTAAAAAGATAGCAAATCTTGAGAAAACGATAAAGCTTTTAGGTACAACCGATAGGTTGGATGTCGAAACACTATATAATATGAATTACAGTTAGACTAGAACAATTTTAACTACTATGTCTCGCATAATACTGATTTATGCTCTAAGAAGTCAGCTTTGTGGACGATAAATAAAATGTCTATTGACAAATACTTGCTCTTTAAGAATGATATACGTAACTCAATTCTATTTCTGAAAATTTTCCTATCTCTTTATAAGACAGAGTGATAGAGAGTAAACTTACAACGTATTCTGTAGTCTGTTGAACACTGTTAGCTTTGACTAGTTTGGTTGTTTCTGAATGATCATGCTTTTGTTTCTTTTTCCTTTTTTTACTTTCAGGTTTCTCTTGCTTTCCGCTTGCAGCTGTAGAGGATTCATTTGTGAATGTTATTCGTTTACGAGTTCGTCTCTTTACTTTTTTAATTCCTTCTGTTTGTTTAACTGTAAATGGTAATAATATTATTTATAATCATAACAGAAACAGAAAATCACTAATCACGACAACATAAGTGAAAAGATTTTGATTAATAAAGTTTATTTTTGAAATCAGTCAGCTATAGTCCATTTTATTTCCCTTTATCATTTGAAGTATTACTACACTGTTGTCTATTATTGAAGGAACTCACAAATTCTGTTTTAATCCTGTTCGTAATTTAGTAACATATTTTGCAACATCAACATACGAAACTTTGTTTTAGTTGAATTTTAAAACCAAAGTTTCGAAAACTATATTCTTGAATTTTAAATTATTACACGTATAGTGGATTACCATTGCACAGTATTGTGGTATTTGCAAAGTCAGCTGCAGATAGAAAAGAGCTAACCATTATTAGGAATAAATTACACTGGATATGTTAATGATTATGATTTTCCAACAGCAACCTATTTTAAAATCTGATATTACGGTCCAATGGTCACATTTTCACAAGCTATTCCATTTCAGTATCCATTGATTATTTGCAGAGGAGACACTAAAATAACAACATACACAATGCACTATAACGCTTTGGTAAATTAAGTAAATATGATTAGAAATTGGATTTCGGAGTTGAGTATGCCCCATGCATACTGCTATTTTGAATATGATCGCTTTTAGACTTGGATTCAATTTCAGACATGATAAGTATATGAAAAAACCCAGTCAATCATCCTCACTTACGCCTTTTGCCCTTCGTGGAGGAGCATAGGCCACCCACCAGCAATCATCCATAGCTCTAATATAAATAAAACTTAGTACATAAAAAAACAGACGATTTTATTTATTGGTAGAATTCGGTGATCAATGCGTGCTTAACAAAAGTCTAGACATTACGTTTAGTCATAGTTATTCTAGGATTTTTTTATAAATTAGCACGCTTTTACTAGAATATTTTAACTTGTCTGTTGATGATAATGAGAGATTTAACTTTCAAAAACCTTTAAAATAACCAGTATCAATCTTCTAACCTATTATTTTAATGCTATCAAAAGATAATGACTACTTAAGCTTGACGATTTTATGGTACCTTTACCATTGAAAGTAGTATCTACATCTTTTCATTTAAAATCTTTACCAGTTGGGCGGTTTTCCAAAATTATACCGGTTATAGGTCATCATTACCGAATTCTCAATAGATACTTTCAGGATTTTATGAATAAATTGGAAAAAACAAATTCGACTTCTTAAGAAAATAATTGCATAATCTTAAAAGAATCACGTGACAAGATTATCTTCACTTTTGAAAGACTTAAATATCACTTCATAATTCAAATGATGAAGTATCTAGGACTCAAATTTAGTAACCAAAGCAACTAAAACAAATTATTCAAATTGAATGGTATAATTTAAATGCCAAATTTGTTTTTAGATATAAGTAAGCGACATTTTCTTAATTTGAAGTAACTAAAATCTATTTTGTTTGGAAATTTCTTTCAACTAAGAGAAAATCATTGAACAGTAGTATGGGGTTGAATTTGAAAAAAATTATAATATAGTAAGCAATTATACAATGCGTTCTTAGAATAATGCTATGTACAGTTAACCATGAATGGTTATTGTTTGGATTAGTTAACAGTTTTTAAATAGATGTATCCAATAAGGTCCTTATAGAAAGATAACTATTTATAGAGTAAGTTTAAATAATAATAACAACAAAAAAGAAACAAACGTTAACGAGGATAAGTAAAGAGGAGAATGAACAACATTCTTAAATGATATAACTCTATTTGCATTAAGTCATGAAATTACGATTAAATTGTATTTGTAGGGATAAAGGAATGAGTTAAGTGGTCTCGCATGATAAAATTATTACCAGGAAGGAAAATGAAACTTTTTTTCTTTAAACAGTTAGTTTTATTATGTGATTCACATTAATCGACTACCGAATTCATCCAACTTTTATTTTAAATTATTCTTCCATCAAACCAGACTGATGTAATTAAACAGCAGTATAAATAATATATAGGTATCTAGATTTTGTTCTATTATGTTCAATAGTACAATATGTTACAAAGTGATGCCAATAGTGTTTGAACCAGTATTTTCATCAAGTACGTTTTATCGCTTTTGGATGTATTATTATACCATCCGAATAAACGTCGAAAATACAAACGCAGTAAAGTTAAGGACTATGGATTTGGGAATGCCGCTGATATACTAAGGAGTTTATTAACCAACCAGATAATGAAAGCTTAACTGATGGAAAATACGTGATTTTCAACGTCCAAATACTTATTTTTATAGATTAAACCATGAACTCATGTTAGCTAGACCAACACTAAAACCCTGGGAGGGCTGGACGGTCTTTTCGTCCTGGTATTGGATTCCTCATTAGTGCGTATCTATGACCTTGTACCCAGGATCGCAACCCAGTACATTTGGTCTCGTGCACGAACGCTTAAATTTATGACCACTGATCAGGCATCTAATAGTGTTAATTTCTAACCCCAATCAATCCACTACATTGCGCAATCTTTATTTATTGCCTATGGTGGATAACTATCTCGCGCCCGATACGGAACAAACTTCACTGGTCACAACTTCCGTTAATCAATATTTATTATTCATTTTTTCGTTAGCTTATTCTTAACATTAACTAAGATCCATCTAGCAAGGAAACACTTTCATATCGTGCTTATTAATAATCCTCTAGATATCCTCCAATGTTTCTATGGGGTATTTGAGCCTTTTTATTCACACCATTTATACCACAATAATCAGAGGCTTAATTATTCGGTAAACTTTTATCATTTTGGTCAATCTCCAATTATTTTCAAAGATTAATGTCACCACTAGTTGTATATAACTATTCTCATTCTACATATTTATAAATAATCTAGATTTTAAAAATGTAATTTCAAATTATTAATGAACAAAAACAACTTATATGTCCATGACATTATCATTTATTCATTGAATTCTTAAATAACCCATAAAATCATTTTTCCCTATTGTAAGTAAACATTATTGACGTCTTATGACTTATATTGTTCTTACTATACGAAAAAACGTCAGTGTCTGAACAAAACTGGATAAACTTCAAGAGAATATCTATTTCTAAACCTTATATACATATATACATATTCTTTGACAATTTTGATTTTCATCATTCCTCTGAAGAAACTCAAGCTAGCTAGATTACTAAATGGAACGTTGAAATTATTCAAATTTCAATAGCTGAGATTATTGAAAAAATAAATTTCACATTTTTATTGAAACAGTTTATTCAAGAGTAAATTTCAGGCGAATAGTATTTCAAGAACTGAACGACTTTTTAGTTTGTTATTTTCATGATGCTTCACATTAATCACATTCTTGATAAGTTAGACTAACACAATAGCTTTTAAATAACGAGGCATGGATAGGTGGAATATTCTGAGTTTAGCATATAGTTTAAGAGATTTTCTTGTAATGAGATGACATTATATGAATTTCTGAAAAAGACTAGTTGATTTAATCTCACTTGATTTTAATAGCTCATGGAGAAAATTTGACTGGCTTCAAGAACCATGCTCTTTCAATGCATCAAAGTATTGACCTATATCAACTTATCATGACAGCTATAACAATTTTCGAATGTTTAAAAATCCTTAACTGAATATAAATCATTGAGTTTCAGTTTACTTATCAAAAGAATACTGAAAGTTTATTGAACGAGAAAACATCATATTGTCGATTCATCGTTCTACACAGCTACAAGATATTTGAAAAGGATATCAAGAGTTTTGTCTTCTATTTTTTGGATGATACTTAAATGCCATTCACTTATAATGAAAACAAGTTACCTTTATACTATTTTAAACAATCAGCTACAATTTATTTTTATTTATTGTACGCGTTTTGAGTAGGTATATAACAAATCATTATTACTTTTTTGTACTATCGTCATATAGACATACAAAAATACAAACACAACAATTTTTATAACTTCTCATTTATCTTAGTTACTCACGTGAATGTTGGGAAGTGTAATTTACAATTTGACTATGAATAATTACAGAAAATAAGTTAGTTGTTCGCAGATTTTTATTATATTCATAGCAGAGATTACAGAGAGGATACAAATGCCCAAGTAGGGCATAAATATGCAGACGACAAGTGAGAATGTATGTAGTATGATAGCAATACGAGTTTGAAAATGCTCAAACACGCTACAGAACATGTATATACATACAAGGAGATATGTACACATTTTAATTTTCTAAGTAGGATGAAAATTTTATGTTTACACTGAAGCATTTAAAGAGAAACTGAATTAATTTTCAAGGTCAAATCTGATGAGTGTAATGAAAAGAAAAAAACCAACGAAAATAATGTGAAAAATGAAAGCGTTGAGATAATTTATTGTATTTATATTAAATTGTATGACCAGGATTTCAACATAACAAAGGGTTTCAAACTAGCTGACTGTTCAAATGTCTAAAACTAAAATTGAATAAATGTCCAGTGATGGAGAAGATTTGTAGCTCAGGTGAATGACTTTGGTGGAGTTTTGTTCTCTGAGCTAGATGGTTCGGTCGTGGAGCTTGTGCTGATGATATCATTCAGAAAAACGATCAAAGCTCTACGACCAAACCATCCAGCTCAGAGAATAAAACTCCACCAAAAATGTCCAGTGAGTTTTTATACATTGTCAGTGGATCTAAATCCGTAAAACGCAACGTTGGACTAAATATAAATTTGAAATTTCGATTAGATTCTGTCGTTATTTAGTATTCATTTATTTAAATTTAAATAATATCATTGGAAGCTGTTATAGTTATAGATTAAGAGGTGACCTCGTCGTTGCAACAATCAATTTCCATTAAATAAGTTTCAGTTTCTAAGCATACTTCATCTGATTCAAATTGTGCAATCGGGTAGTGACATCAATAATTCACGAGTAAATAATATACCACGATGTAGATAAAACAATTCAAAGCGAACGGGAAGCATTAAATGCTTACAGTAGTTATTTGTGCAT